TACTGTAAACCCGAAATCTCTGTGTTTCATATAATCTGAACTATATTTTCCAATTTAATTTTAAGATGAAGTATAGATTCAGAAAGGTCCATATTTTTCTAACGAGTTCGCTTTGAATTATTTTGTTGGGTTGCATAAAGAAGCAAGGATTTGTATTTATTTTGCAAGCTTGAGAAAGCTATTAGTCAAGTTTATTATATTTGTACATGATTGCAGGTGAGTCTATGTCCATTTAAAAGGTGGACATTATTTTAAAGTGATCTTTTAATGTTTTTATTTAAACAGATTTGAAATACAGTTTAGTTTAGTTGTCTTTACTTACCGAGTCCAAGAAGCCTTGCATTTGTTTCTCATGAGTATAACCCTGGACCATGACCTAATGTTAATTCTTTGCTTTGTCTTTTGGATAGTCTTACCACGTTAACATGATGGCTGAACATTTTAAACTTTTCTCAAAAATCATAACTTTATTAATAAAAAATAAAGTTCTGTATTTGAAAAGTTTGTTGTTATTATAAAGTGGCATTTACCAAATGAGAGAATAACTATTATTTTGGTAAAAAATCTGGTAAAATAGTGTTTATTAGAAAAAAGAGATTTAGCTCATAATTTGGGGTAACCACCTCTGAGACAGTTACTATTTGAATGTAACAGTATTGTAAGTTTACCTAGGCCAGAGGTATAGATTGCTTTATTCTAAAAGGTTTTAACTTAGCTTACTGAACATAATTTTCAATTCATAAGTAACTTTTGGGTCATAAGTACTTTAGAAACACTAGAAGTTGTTGAATTGTGGTTGTCAGAATGCTGAGTAGATTTTACTTTGTGTAGAATTCTTTTGTGGCATCTGTGTTCCAGTTCCCTTTCAAAGGGGCAGTTAATAGTTGGGGCTGCTGAATGGAACAAGAAGAATCTGAGACAGAACTGATTCTCAGGAATGGGCAGAGGTCAGTAGACATGAAGCAACCTTTGGCCAGGGGATGGAGGGAATGTGTGCTAATTAGCACTGTTTGGGGTAGGAAGGAGGATTAACAACTAAATGGCCAAAATGGACAATCTGACTCTTGAAAGAGGAGAACTAATGACATTACCTTGGCCTTTTCTCCTTTCTCATAAGCTAGTTTTTTGTTTGTTTGTTTGTTTGTTTTAGACCTCACCTGAGGATATTTTTTCCTATTTATCTTCAGATAGAGAGAAAGGGGGAGAGAGAGAAACATCCATGTGAGAGGGACGCATCGACTGGTTGCCTTCCGCACGACCATGACCAGGGCCGAACTGCAACTGAGGTATGTGCCCTTGGACAGAATCGAACACGTGACTCTGGTCCGCTGGCTGACACTCTACTGCTGAGCCAAACCGGCCAGGGCTAAGCTAGTTTTTTGGAACCACTCTGGGAAAGTTGAGTGATGTTGGCCTCTTACACTTTTTTTGCTCACTCGTGTGTTCCAGAATCTAGAGAGATGAGAACTGACATTTAGTTTCTTCTGTGTAACAGCCTTTTTTTTTTTTAGAAGTGAGCTTAACAATCCTGTGCGTTACTGTCATTGTCTTTAACTCTTCAGTGCCTTCCATTAATAAAGAGGGTTGCCGTGCTGTTTCTGCTCCTTAATTCAGGTCATCTTGTTTTTCAACCAACAATGTGTCTTCCCCACCCATTTTCCTCGTAATGTAATTCTTTTAATCCAGGCTTTCTAACTCCACTATCATTCTTCCATAACACTGTCCATGGCCTCTAAATCAAGTTAACGTTTCTGTGCTGCCTGGCCATGTATTGGTTATAAATACTTGCAAGTCAACTCACTAGATGATAAATTCTTTTTTATCCTCACCTGAGGCTTTTTTTTCTTTAAGTTCAAATAGAGCGGGAAGGAAAGAGGGAGGAAGAGAGAGAGAGAGAAACATTGACATGAGAGAGACACATTGAGGGCACCCACACAACCCCAACCAGGGCCAGCAACAAACTGCAACCGAGGTATGTGCCCTTAGTGGGAACCGAACCTGGGACTCTGGTCTGCAGGCCGACACTAAACTCTGAGCCAAACTGGCCAGGACTAGATGATAAATTCTTGAGGACGTTTTCTTTATACTGACTACCCACAAAATGAACCCAAATTCAGAAAGGAATTGTAGTGAATTTAATGTCCATTACATTTGTTAACTGTTGTGCTGCCTAAGTTCTCAAGAAAATAGCACCAGAACCAGTAAAATTATCCTAACCTCGAAAAATATTAGTCAATCTTTCACACAATTTAGTGGAAGTATAAATTTAGGGTGCAGTATTTTTGGAGAGCAGTTTGACAAAGCAGGTTTTCAAATGCCCATATTCTTTGACCTGTCAGGTTCTACTTTTTGGAGTTATAGATTTGCTTATACATCATGAGCAATAATTATAAGGATATCTGTTTGAAGCAACAAGAGACTAGAAACAAATGTCCACATACATTGACAGGTATGCAGAATATCGGATAGGAGACACAATGAACTATTGAGGTTGCCTCCAGAGGAAAATGAGGAGTCAGAGATAGGTTCCAGTTCACTGTGTGCCCTTTTATGATATTTTCATTTACATACCATGTGCATATATTACTTGTAAAAAAACAAAAACGGTGTCTTAGATGGTCGATAGCTCGGGGAAATGAGGTTATTTGACATGATGCTGGACCAATATGCTAGCCATTTGGAGAAAGGTGAAGATGTTTCTACTGTTCACCTCTCACAGGTACTGAAGAAAAAGATGGCTAAAGGATTTTATAATGGGAGAGGGAAGGTATTTCTAAGCATGCATATTGCTCTTGATCATAAAAACGTGAGTACATGAAAATTTAAAAAGAAAACTAGCACTAGTAGGAAAAAATGGAGATAAGACAAGAAATTCACAAAAGATGCCCTGGCCCATGTGGCTTGGTTGGGCGGCAGCCCATACACTGAAAGATTGTCAGTTCAATTCCTGATCGGGGCACATGCCGTGGTTTCAGGCCCGAGCCCCAGTAGAGGCTATGTGGAAGGCAGCTGGTCGATGTTTCACTCTCACATCAATGTTTCCCTCCCTCCCTCTCTAGAAATAAAAATTTTAAAATTAAAAATAAGGAAAAGGATTGATTGGTTACAGCATGGAAAAAGATGCTCAGCTTCATTAAAAATGCAAGTGAGCCCAGCCAGTGTAGCTCAGAGGATTGAGCATCGTCCCTTGGACTGAGAGGTCCCGGTTCCATGCCGGGTCAGGGCACGTGTCCGGGTTGCAGGCTTAATCCCCCGGAGGGGGTGTGCAGGAAGCCTCCAATTAATGTTTCTCACATGGATGTTTCCATTTCTCTCCCCCTTCCTTTCTCTAAAAAAACAATAAAAACATTTTTTAAAATGCAAGTGAAGTCAGCAATAAGATGATTTTGCCTAAGATAGTGTTGCTGAGGATGTAGGCAAAGAAGCATTTTTGATGGGGAGTATAAAATGGCTTAACTGTAAAAAAAAAAAAAGTATGTTGGCAATATGTGTCTAAGTTTCATTGCATAATCTCTCTATGGTTCATTCTTAAGTATGAACTCTTAAGAATTTATGCTGAGATATATGTATAGGTGTGAGATAATAGAAAAAATATGTATTGGTCTCTGCCCCAGTTCCTGGCATAGAGCTCCTGAAACCCTTGTAATATCCTAAGAGCACTCGAAGCATCTTTTGTTCTAATGAGGTGATTGAGTGGACTCCTGGATGGGGGCTGGTCACCAGAAAGACTAGAAAAAGAATCTTGGAATTTCCAGCCCTACCCGTCAGAAAGCCTCGGTAAAATCCCAATCATAGAGGGTTGGGAGAACTTCCAGGCTGGTACCCTAACTTCATGGGGACTAAAGTGCATGTGCTTAGGACCCTCCCAGACCTCACTCTATGCATCTCTTCATCTGGCTGTTCATCTGTGTCCTTTATCATAATTCTTCAATAAAGCGCTGTAGCCCTGGCCAGTTTGGCTCAGCGGTTAGAGCGTTGGCCTGCGGTCCAGAGAGACCCGGGTTCGATTCCCACTAAGGGCACGTACCTCGGTTGCAATTTGTCCCTGGCCCTGGTTGGTCGTGTGGGTGGCAGCCACTCGATGTGTCCCTTTCACGTCAATGTTTCTCTCTCTCTTCCTCTCCCTCCCTCCCAACTCTATCTGAACAAAAAAATGAAAAAATGTCCTCGGGTGAGGATAAAAAAATAAAATAAAGTGCTGAAGTGTTCCCGAGTTCTGTGAGCTGAACTTGGGGAACCTTTGATTTGTAGCCAAGTTGAACAGCAGTTGTGGGTAACCTGGGGACCTACTACTTGCAAGGGACATCTGAAGCAGGCTGGCTAACAGTTTTGTGGGACTGAGTCCTTAACCTGTGGGATCTGATCTATGTCCAGGTAGATAGCGTCAGAATTAAATTCTAGGACACTCAGCTGGTGTTGCAAAGCATTGCTGGGGTGGGGGGGTCATCTGGTGACCCTAAATGTTTTGTGAGTAGTAAAGGAGATACTGGAAACACAGAAGTGAGGAACTGGGTTCTTCCCTACATAGGAAGAAAAATAGCTTTCCTACACAAGATAAAATATATTTTAAAATAAATAAAAGCAGTAAATAAGGAAAACCAATGTCCAGTAGAAAATTGGCTAAATTATGTTACTGTGTGAGACTACAATGAAGCCATTTAAAGACTTTGTATTTTTATATTCATAAAAATTGAAGAAACTCCATAGGAAAGATCTTAAAGACCTTAAAGAAAAAAATTGCAGAAATCTGTATATAGAGTATGATCCCACTGAGTCTATGTCCGTACCTAGGTGGACTCATGTTCACGTTCGTTTCCAGAGTTTGGAGTAAGGTGGGGAGAAGGTAGTGAAAAAAGTTTTCTATACATTTTGAGTACTTATTAAACACATAGTTAAGATTTGTGGATTATACAGCAATTCAAATCCAAGTCACTGATATTACTTGGGAACGTAATTTTGGAGCTCCTTAAATGTTTCCTCACTGGTAAAATTGTCCCAAGTGCTAGTTACTCGACTCCTGTGTTGCCGGTACCTCTCATGGCCTCCAGGTTCTTGACACGTGCAGGAAAAAGTTCAAGACAGATTGCAGGTGAAAGTGAGAGTAAATTTATTGAAGCTTGGGACAGTGAAGCAAAGGAAGGGCCCCTGGAGACAGGACCAGGAGGTAAGCCTGCTGCTGCTGCCCATTGCTCCCTTGATCTCCTCCCAGCCCTTAGAGCTTAGAAGCAAAATACTTGCCTGAGGAAAGTAGGGCACACCCTGGTCCTAAAGGTTTTATGTTTTCTAGAGGTGGGAATTTTAAAGGTGGTCCCAGGGGAGGATCTCAACACTATTCATTAGACTTCTGACTGTGTCATTTAGTGTGCTGACGTATTACAATAAGAGTATAATGAAATTTGGGGTCATTTTTTGGTTAATTTTACCTCTATCTTGGATTAGTCTGGCTCAAATTTTTATTTTTTTGACCTCCCTAAGGTGATTTAAACCACCTACCTGCTCTTAGTTATTTTGGGTTTTGGAGGGGTAGGTTTAAACCACCTGCTCTTAGCTGTCTTTGGTTAGGGAGGATAGAATTTTGTGATTTACCAGCTGGCTGTTAATTGTTCAGCAATTCCAGCTATTCGTCTGTTTCTTCATTCCACTTTCCAGGCAATTGTCCTCCTTTCTTACTTGCCTCAACAGGATTACTGTGTCTGGTGATACGTATAAAGTACTTGAAAGGTTATTTGAAAGCAAACATCTACAACTGATGAATTGTGCAAATTTTATCCCAATAAAGTTTTTAAAAAATACCTTCATGTGGCAGTTTTGATTAAAAAAATTTTTTACTTCAATTAAATATCCACTGTGGTGGCAAATCCCAGAAGAAAATGCTATTTTTAGCAATATGTTTGACAAAGCTTATTGTTTGCATTTACGTTTAGGTAACTATTCTTGAGAGAAGGTAAGCAAATTCACCTCCATCGACTGTCACATACACAGACCTCAAACCATAGTTTGCAGTTTTATCGCAGGTTCACCCAAAATACATCTTACATCACCGACCCCAGTGGAGAAACAAACACAACAGCAAGGACGCTGGAGATTGAAGCGCCCATGTTCCCAACGCTCTGCTCACGACTCCGGTCCAAGGGTCACATTCTTTTTCGATCGAATTTATTGGGGAGGCACTGGTTAATAAAATTGCACAGGTTTCAGGTATACAATTCCACAACACATTATCCGTATGTTGGGCGGTGTTTACCACCCCCAGCCGAGTGTCCTCGTAGGTCCCATTCCTCTGGTGGTGCCGGTTCCCGGGGAGGCGGCGGCAGCCCGGGCTAGGACCACTTCTTGGTGACGTCGAGGTGGCCGAGCTGGTCGGCCAGCAGCCGGTGCTGCGGGAACCTGGCCTCGCGGGCGGCCTTGATGGCCTGGAAGGCGGCCGCCCTGCGCGCCGCGGCGTGGCCGAACTCCTGCGCGGCGCTGAGCCAGGGCGCGCTCAGCCAGTAGTGGTTCTCCGCCTCCGTCTCCAGGCGGCGGACCACGCTGCGCTTGGCGTGGAAGGACACGGTGCGCGGCCGCCGGTGCTTCCCGATCCACTGCCGGCCGGGGATGCGGTTGCGGCGCAGGAGCGCGGTCAGGAACATGGCGCCCGCTGCGGACAGAGACCGGGGCGCCAGGAGGGTCGTCTCCGGGGAAGCGGGCACCTACCCAGGGTCCCCCAGTGGCCACGGGCCACAGCGCACTCACCAGTCCCGCGCCTCGGGAACGCGGCTCCCTCCGCAGGCCGCCGGACACGCCGCCGGAAGTGCGTGCGTCCCCGGGCAGGCCGCCTTCTCGCGAGACGGCTCGTGCGAGACTTCGGCTCCCGCGAGACAGAGTTCGCGCGCCGGCCGCCGGAGATTCAAACGCGCGGAGGGCGCCATGGACCCGATCCGGAGCGTCTTTGCGAAGCTGCGGTCTCTGGCGGTGACCGTGGACGGCGAGACGGCGCGGCTGCAGCGGGCGCTCGCGGGGGAAGAAAGCGGTGAGGGGCGGGCGGCGGCGGCGAGAGGGCGCTCGTCCCAGCGCCGCGTGTCGCGGGTGGGAATGCGGGTGGGAATGCGGGCGCCTCCCTGACTCCCCCGCCGCCCCCGGGAAGGGAAAGCGCTGTTCCTGCGCAGCCGGAGTGCCGAGCTCAGGCCCCGCGCCTGGTGCACTCGGCGTGTTTGCCGGTCGCAGGGAACTGTGCTTATCAGTGATGACACAGTGGGGACAGCGTCGGCTCCCTTCGCAGGCAGCTGTTCAGCTTGTCCTCCACCTGTGTGGCGACCTTTTCTCACCCAGGTGGTCCACGGTTGCAGTAAACGTCTACTTTTCCCAACAAACCCGGTTCCCAACACAAACACCAGGACTCAGTACTGCTTCCCTCCCCCCCTTTTTTTGCAAAGTAAAGCTAAATTCTTCAGCACTAACCTTCCTAGGAGGGATTTTTAATTTATTTAAACATTTTTTAAAATTGATTTTAGAGAGAGAGAGACAGAAACGCCCATGAGAGGGACCATCAATTGGCAGCCTCCTGCATGCCCTCCCCTGGGGATCAGGTCCACAACCTGGGCATGTGCCCTGACCACAATGAACCGGTGACCTCTTGGTGCCTGGGTCAACACTGAGCCACACCGTTCAGCCACAGGGGCCAGGCAGTATGAGGGATTTTTTAAAGTTGAAAAAGTGTTCAGACTTCATAAATGTCATAATTGTAATGTACCTTAAAATATTGCACCCTGTGCCTGGCCGGTGTGGCTCGGTGGTTGAGTGTCGACCCATGCATCAAGAGGTTGCTGGTTCGATTCCCCGTCAGGACACAGGCCCAGGTTGTGGGCCTGATCCCCAGTGGGTGGCATTGCAGGAGGCGGCCAGTCGATGTTTTTGTCTCTCCTTTTCCCTTCCTCTCTAAAATCAATAAAGAAAAAAAAATTTCACTGTGTAGATAGAGAGTCCTTTTACTTCAGTTATTTTATGAATGGTTATGCAGCCATGACTAGAAACTTTCTGTGTAATGTGCATGGCGAGATTTTGAGATATGGAGAAATAGAAAAAATAAATATCCTGTAACTGCACCATCAGAAGAAATCACTCAGTGTTTTAGTAGCTTTTCTACTGTTCTTATTTTTAGAATTGCTTTGTTTTTCTTTGATTTTTTAAAAACATGTTTTTATTGATTTTTTTAGAGAGCGAGTAAGGGAGAGAGAGATAGAAACACCAGTGTGAGAAACATCAGTCTGCTGCCTCCTGCATGTCCCCCTCAGGATCAAGCCTGTAACCTGGGCATGTGCCCTGACCTGGAATTAAACTGGGACCTCTCAGTTCATGGGACGATGCTCAATCTACTGAGCAACACTGGCCGGGCTGTTTTTGATTTTGTTTACATAGTTGAGATAATGCTATAAGACAGAAAGTTGTACTAGCATTTTTAAAAAATTTATTGATTGATTTTAGAGACAGAGAGAAACATTATCTGCTGTTCCACTTACTTCTGCATGCATTAGTTGATTCTTGTATGTGCCCTGATGGGGGACTGAACCTGAAACCTTGGTATATTGGGAGGACACTAACTAATTTAGCTAACCGGGCCAGAGTCTAATTTTTCATTCTTGATATGTAGCTGAATTTCTTTCCACAAAGCTTGTACAAATTTACCTTCTTACTAACATATTACCTGTGTGCACAAATTCTGCGTTTTCATTTGGTTTTATAAGAAAAGATAATTTTCTTTTTTTTAATCCTCACCTGAAGACATTTTTCCATTTTTGTTGAGGTAGAGTGGGAGGGAGAGGGAAAAGGAGAGAAACATCAACGTAAAAGAGACACATCGAGTGGCTGCCTCCTGCACGACCCCAACCAGGCCTGGGGACGAATCGCACCCAAGGTACATGTCCTTGACCATAATCAAACCCGCGAGTCATTCATTGGTCCTTGGGTAGACACTCTAACCCCTGAGCCAAACTGGTCAGGGCAAGAATAATTTTTTAAATCCAGTTCTGTATGTATTACAGAAGATAGGGAATTGTGAACCTCAGGTAAAAAATGTTTACCTTTTATGATAACAGCCATGAGTTGATAAGTTGATTGACCTTTAAACAGTTTTTATTGAAATGTAATTCACATATCATAAAATTGGCCCTTTAAAGGATGCAGTTCAGTGGCTTTTAGTATATTCACAGAGTTGTACAACCATCATTACAATAAGTTTAGATTTTCATCATCCCCAAAAGAAACCCCTGTGATTGTTAGCAGCCCAACCTCCACCTACCAACTAGCCTAATGCAAACACTAATCTACCTTCTTTCTCTAGATAGCCTATTCTGGACATTTTCATATAAGTGAAATCATACACTGTGTGATCTTTCGTGGTGACTTATTTCACTTAGCATCATGTTGCAAGAGTCATTCATGTCTGTGTGTATCAGTAATCCATTTTAAGTACAAGTTTTTCTGTGAATGTAATGTTTTCAGTTCTCTTTGGTATATATTTGGAAGTGAATTGCTAGGTAAGCCTGTGTCTGACTTTTTCCCAAAAGTAGATGTCCCATTGTATAGTTCCACCAGCATTGAATGGAATTTGCAATTTCTTCACATCCTCATCAACATTTTAAATGGTCTTTTTTGTTGTTGATAATCTTCACCCAAGGATATTTTTCCATTGAATTTTCGAGAAGAGTGGAAGGAGGGAGGGAAAAAGACAGACAGACACACATTGATGTGAGAGAGACACGTCAGTTGTTTGCCTTCCGCACAACCCTGTCCAGGGCTGGGGATGGAACCAGCAACCCAGGTATATACCCTTGACCTGAATCAAACTCGAGACCCTTCAGTCTAAGAGTTGACCCTTTAACTGCTGAGCCAAACTGCCCAGAGCATTATCTGTGTTTTTTGTTTGTTTGTTTTTTCTTTATTGATCTGGAAAGAGGAAGGGGGAGAGAGAGAGAAACATCAATGAGAGAGAACATTGGCTGCCTCCTGCATGCCCCCCACTGGGGATTGGACCCATAACCTGGGCATGTGCCCTGTCCAGAAATCAAACTGGTGACCTCTTGGTGCATCGGTCAACACTCAGTCACTGAGCCACACTGGCTGGGCTAGGGCTGTCTTTTGTTGTCGACATCCTCGTGTGTATAAAGTAGAAAATCACTGTGGTGTAGATTTGCATTTCCTAATGAAAATTGATTGACTTTTAACAGGTGGAAGAAGACCTTCAAAGGAGACATGTTTCAGAAAAGAGAAATATAATTAGTTTCTTATTGTTAATTCTCACCTGAGGATATTTTTTCCGTTGAATTTTTTTAGAGAAGGTGGAAGGGAGGGAGAAAGGAGGAGAGAGGGGAAAAGAGGAACATTGATGTGAGAGAGACATATCAATTGATTGCCTTCCTCATTGGTGGAAGATCAGAGATTGAACCTGCAACCCAGTACATGCTCTTGACCGGGAATTGAACCTGTGACCCTTCGGTTAGAGGGCTGACTCTATCCACTGAGCCACACCAGCCAGGACGAGAAATAGAATTCTTTTCAAAACTGCTTTTATTTATTTTGTTTGTTTTTTGTTAATCCTCACTGATAATATTTTTCTGTTGGTTTTTAGAGAGAGTGGGGGTGGTGGGAAGAGACACATCAATTGGTTGCCTCCCAAATGACCCTGCGCCAGGGATTGAACCTGCAACCCAGGTACATCCCCTTGACCAGAATCAGCCTTCGACCCTTCTGTTCAAAGGCAGACACTCTGACCGCTGAGCCAAACCGACCAGGGTGCTTTTATTTTATATGTATGACCACCTGATCAATGAGAAACGTGCCATACAGTGGGGAAAGGGTGTCTTTTCAGTAATGGTGCCAGGTTAATTGTACACTCATGGAAAAGAACAGGTCTTGATCCTTACCTCATTCCATACACAAAGTCAGTTCCAGGTGGACTTTATCTCTGAATGCAAAGGGAAGCAATGAAGCGTTTAAAATGTTGGAAGAAGATTTTAAAAATAGAAATCAGAAAGTGCTCACCATAAAGGAAAGATTTGCTCAGTTGGACCATGTTCCCACTTCCTCCTCTTCCTTCCTCTCTCCCTCATCTGGTATTTAATTTGTATACTTAGGACTTCATTACTCTTCTGTATGTATGTTACAGTAATAATAATTTTAAAGAAAGGCCTTAACACTTTCTTTGTGATTAATAGAATATAAATTATAAATAAATATCTACAAGGATTTTATAATTCTAAAAAAATATACTAAATTAAATTTCTTGTGTTTTTCCTTTCTTTTCCTTATTGCATTTTTTCCTTTTGACATTCATATTGAAGACTTTGAGGATTATGCAATGAGAATTTTACATGACCTTCATTCAGAAGCTCGGACTCTAAAGGTATCACTCCTACAAATTAACTTGTCATTTTTATGTGGTAATTTTAAAAATCTAAATAAATGTAGTCAAAAGCTAGAGAAACTATAATGTACTTTCTTTCCTCCTAAAAGGGTGATATCAGTATTCTTCTTGATAAAGCAAGTTTGGAAAGTCAAGAAAGCATTGGTTTCATAAAGGCAACAAAAGTACTGATGAAAAAAAACTCAGAGGATATCATAAAAATAAGAGAGTTTTTCCAGAAGTATGGATATAATCCATGTGCCAAGAAAAATCCAGGTGTGAATAACTTGCATTTTCTAGCATTTGTTTCAGTGTTGGGGATAAAAGGCAGCGTCAATAAGTAAGAGTATTTTTGGCTGTGCCATGGTTTCTAGCTCTGGTAAAACTAGACCATATGCGACCATTGTCTGGCCGTTTGTCCAGCAGCCTCTGCTGGGTGCAGACAGTTCTTGCTGTCCTTTCCCACATGCTGGACAAGAACTGACAGTGCTTGATGAAGGGACAGGACAAGGCGTGTAGGTGGTGCTTCAGCCTCGTTGGTTTCTGGTTGGCTCTGCTAATAACTGAGAGACCGGCCTTCAGGCATGTTGTTTTATTTCTCTTACTCTTAAGTTCCTCTTCTGTACAATGAGAAACATTTGCCTATATAGTGATGAAATCCTTTTCAGGTATAAAATTATAACGAAGAGTAGTATAGCATAGTAATTTTAAATTCAGAGCCAAACTGCTGGAGTTCAAATCTGTGATTCCATCACATACCAGATGCACTGTCTTTGACTAGCTGCTTAACCTTGTACCTAAAAAATCAATAGAAATATACTTTTAAAAAACAGAACTCATTTGTAAGTGGAGGTGTTTAATGGTCTCTACCCCTCAGATTGTATTAGGATTAAATAAGATAAAATTTACTTAGAACAGTACCTGGCATGTTAATTGCCAGATGTTAACTATTGTTATTGTTGTGCACATGCCTTTGGTTGACCAATTTAAGTGAACTTCAGTGTCTTCATTTCCATCATTGTACATGAATAGAATATTAAGTTCAACAGATATGTAGTGAAGATGTGTATGGAAGGTATATTAAACAGTCCACATGGTATAATGGTAACAATTCAGTTGACTTTGGTGTGCACAAGCCATAGGTTCAGATACTGGCTCTGCATCTGCACACACTACCACATGCGTGACTGGACAGTTTCTCTGCATTGCTCTCCCACTTGTGAAGTGGGGATTATCGGGGTGGTGATTTTGTTTTACTAATTTTGTCAATGACAGCCTTGCAGTAAGTGCAACAAGAGGTTTTTGGTAGTTGTAACATTTCTCAGATTTGATATAAAGCACAGTGTCAAAACAGCTCAGTGCCCAGCTGTGTGGCTCACTGGATTGAGCGTTGTCCCATGGACTGAGCTCCCAGTTCGATTCCCGGTCTGGGCACATGCTCAGGTTGCAGGCTCAATCCCCAGTGGGGGCTTGCAGGAGGCAGCCAATCTGTGTGTCTCTCTCTCATCGATGTTTCTCTTTCTATTCCTTTTTCCCAAAAAAAATCAATAGAAATATATATTAGAACTCAGTGAATCAGCAGCCAGCTCTACCAAGGGCCAAAAGCCATGCAATCAAAGTTTATTATAATTTTTATTTTTGATGGTGCACCCTGCAGATTTAATGTGTCCTGGTTTATGCACAGAAATAGTACCCTATCCTGGTTTCTTTCCAGTTGCTGATCAAAACAAGGATGATTATACCTTCAAAGAAAAAGTGTGCACCTCTGTACTCCGTCCAAACTGTTGGATCTCTTAGCTGGTCAAGTAAATATACAGATTAAATTTATCGCTTTTCTCTTCCCTTGGACCCAGATGAGTCTGACAAGGCTCTCCACCAGTATCTGACAGACCCAATTTCAAGCATAGACATTCCTTTAAAAGATGGAATAAATAGCCCTGGCCGGTTTGGCTCAGTGGTTAGAGCGTCAGCCTGCGGTCCTGAGAGACCCGGGTTCGGTTCCCGCTAAGGGCATGTACCTCGGTTGCAGTTTGTCCCCAGCCCTGGTAGGTTGTGCGGGTGGCAGCCACTCGATGTGTCCCTTTCACGTCGATGTTTCTCTCTCTCTCTCTCTGTTCCTCTCTCTCCCTCCCACTCTACCTGAACAAAAAATGGGAAAATGTCCTCGGGTGAGGATAAAAAAAAAAAAAAAAAGATGGAATAAATAGAAACAGAAAAGGACTTGGCATCAAAGGTGCTGTCCTGGATCTTTTAGCAACCTCAGTTCCACACCAAATTCATTCACCAGTGGTGTACCAGGAAATGACAAAGGACTGAGGGTAAAAGTAGATTTGTTATTCAGTTGTTCAGTCTGACGTGCACAGTGTAGTGGTTAAGCATTGGGGTGTAGAGCCAGATACAACCCTAATGAAGGTTGAGGAATTGTGTATCTTTCTAATGTTGTCCTGTTATTTCTCTCACTAGGCTTTTGATACTTGTGTTCTAGGCTGACAGGATAAAAATTTATTTTTGCATAACAGTCTTTCCTTTTAAGACATCTGTAATTAAATATCTAAACTAATATTTTTATACTTAATGTTGAATCTAGATTGTAGTTAATTCCAGACTGTAATTACTGTCATTAAATGAATTAGTTTTATAATATATTAAGAACAACTAGTAGATTACATCAGCTGGGGAAGTAAGGAAATTTGACTTATGTTTATGGATATTAATTTTTCGTCTTTTAATATGTTGTTAATTAATTTTTAAGAGGGAGAGAGAAACACTGACAAGAGAGAACATCGATTGGCTGCCCCCTGCACGTCCCCCACCAGGGGTTTTGCTCACAACCTGGGCACGTGCCCTGACCAGGAATTAAACTGGCAACCTCTTGGTGCATGGGTTGACACTCAGCCACTGAGCCACACCAGCCAGGCAGTGAAATAAAATTTTAGAGACTGAGAACAGAATCAGGACTTTTGCTCTTTTGGGACATTTCAGATGAAACTGTTTTATGTAGTTTCAGTCCTTGAGATTTTCTTATTTGATGTTTGAATACAATATGACCTTTTTTCCTCCCAGTGGATGAGCAAGAAGTTGTTGATTCTAAACCAGAGTCCACTAAAGATGAAATGCTTCAAAAGCCTGATGTGAAGAATGGCATGTCTGACCCTGCTGCTCTGAGCAGCTCTGCTTCTGAGAAGATGCCATGTAGTCCACAACTTTCAGACTTTGGGCTTGAGCGGTACTTGATATATCAAGTTCCACCAATCCCTCCACAGGCAATAAACCAAAAGAAAGAGCCAGAAACATTAACTCCAACTTCCAAACAATCACTAGTTCAAGTATTAAAAACTCCAAAATGTGCACTGAATATGGATGACTTTGAGTGTGTGACTCCTAAATTAGAGCACTTCGGTATCTCTGAATACACGATGTGTTTGAATGAGGATTACACAATGGGACTTAAAAATAGGAAGAACAAAAGGTAAGCAGCTTTCTTAAAGGTCACATTTTATCTAACTTTCTATATCTTTTGTATTTATTGATTTTTCCCAGAAGAAATAAGATGTTGCAGACTACGAGGTTTTCAGAATCTTATTTCAAACTTCCCTGAAGCATCAATTCTTCAGTAAAGTGTGGGGTATTTTTCCAGGTTCAGTGCTATAAAAGGAGTGACACAGGCCTGGAAAAATAAAAAGGTATTTGGTAAGATAGAGAAGCAGGGATAAAATGAGTAATAATTGTGAGAATTAGGAAGGAAATGGGGTCTGGAGTCAATTCCAGTTTCTGGTTGCGCGGGGCGGCCTGCGTAAGAACTGAGGAGGACGGCAGCTTGCAGGCACAGGTGGCTCGTCCCGTGTGGAGCGTGTGGTGCTTATAGTGGTGCTCTTAAATTTGAGTATCTTAATATGAATTTGAAATCCAGTGATTAATTTAATGCTAAGGAGATTGGGAGTGTGAAAATGGTAATTAAAGAGTTACATTAAAAATGAAAGTACCATGGCCCTGGCTGGTTTAACTCAGCGGTTAGGGCATCAGCCCACGGTCCAGAGAGTCCCGGGTTCATTTCCCGATAAGGGCATATACCTCGGTTGCCGTTTATTCCCAGCCCTGGTTGGGGTCCTGCGGGAGGTGGCCACTCGATGTGTCCCTTTCATGTCGATGTTTTTCTCTCCTCTCTTCCTCCCACTCTGTGTGAACAAAAGTGGGAATATGTCCTCGAGTAAGGATTTAAAAAAAAAAAAAACTATGATTATTAAAGGATGAAAATGAACATTCAACTCAAGGAGTCAGGGAAAAAAACCCATGATAACTGGAGAAAAAAAGAAGGGAATCAACACTAAAGCTGAAGTAAAATGTTATTACAAAAGATTTTTAGCCCTGGCCGGTCTGGCTCAGCAGTTAGAGTGTGTCGGCCCGCGGACTAATGAGACCTGGGTTCGATTCCGGCCAAGGGCACATACCTCAGTTGTGGTTTGTCCCCGGTAGCATGGAGGTAGCCAGTCGATGTGACACATCAATATTTCTGTCTTTCTCTCTCCCTCCCTCCCACTCTGTCTAAAGATAAACGGAAAAATATCCTCGGGTTAGGATTAAAAAAATAAAAAAGATTTTTAGAAGGGTAGAATTTATAAATTTAAGAACTGATTCTTAAACATAAATGCAACTGACACATTTAGGAACTAAAGGCTATTTTTTTTAAGCTATTAAAAAAATTAAAAGGTAGCCCTGGCCGGTTTAGCTCAGTGGTTAGAGTGTTGACCTGCAGATCAGAGAGTCCCGGGTTCGATTCCCGCTAAAGGCACCTACCTCGGTTGCAGTTTGTCCCCAGCTCCGGTTGGAGTCGTATGGGTGGCAGCCAATCGATGTGTCTCTCTCATATCAATGTTTCTCTCCCTCCCTCTCTCCCTCCTGCTCTATCTAAAGATAAATGCAAGTGTCCTCGGGTGAGGATAAAAAATAATAATAGTAATAAAAGGTATAGTATTGGGTAATTGGAGAAGTTCAGATACATGAAAAATAACCATTTAAAATAATATGCTTTCCTATATTTTATTAATAACTAGTAGGTAAGTATAGTGGGAAAAACCCATGCAAATTTGCAACCAAAAATTAAAATACCCATGCCATTTGTAGGTGAAAGGCCCATATGATTAAAACTTTAGCCCTGGCCGGTTTGGCTCAGCGGTTAGAGTGTCGGCCTGCGGTCCTGAGAGACCCGGGTTCGGTTCCCGCTAGGGGCACGTACCTCGGTTGCGGTTTGTCCCCGGCCCTGGTCGGTTGTGCGGGTGGCAGCCACTCGATGTGTTCCTTTTGCATCGATGTTTCTCTCTCTCTCTCTGTTCCTCTCTCTCCCTCCCACTCTACCTGAACAAAAAATGGAAAAATGTCCTCTGGTGAGGATAAAAAAAAAACAAAACAAAACTTAAAAGCATTTCTGAGTTATCTAAAGGGAAAATAAGGATGAACAGAGATATTTTATTCCTGAATCAAATGACAATATTATTATGTTTAATCATATCAAATTAATTTATTGGTGTCATGCAATTACAATAGAGTCTCCATAGGATGATTTTTAAGGTGGAGAAAAAGGGATATTTGACAAAAGGATTCTAAAATTTATTTGGAAGAATGAACAGGATGGTTAAGAAAATAATGAAAACACAATGAGGGGACTTGATTTAGTAGATGTTAAAGATGTAAAGCTATAGTGAGCACAACAGGACAAAACTCACAGAGTGGACTGGACTGGAACAAAGTTACGTAAAACAGAGTAATTTATATAGTAAATTGTATTTATTGTGGCTTTCCTTTATGTCAGAGATTCTTAATCTACTTCTAAGTCAAAACTATCGATACAAAACAGTTAACTTTTTTTGAACCACGTTTATACATTTTTAAAAAATAACTCTTTTAGCTCTGGCCGGTTTGGCTCAGCAGTTAGAGCATCCGCCCATGGACCAATGAATCATGGGTTTGATTCTGGTCAAAGGCATGTACCTCTGTTGCAGGTCGACCCTGGCCCTGGTTGGAGTCATGTAGGAGGCAACTGGTCTATGTCTCTCACATCAATGTTTCTCTCTCTCTTTCCCTTCCACTCTAATGATAAATGGAAAAATAGCCTCAGGTGAGGATAAATAAATAAACAATTATTTTAGAGAAAGAGAAACACTGATCACCCCAACCAGAGATCAAACTCACAACCTGGGTATGTGCCTTGACTGGGAATCAAACCCACGACCTTTTGGTGTACAGGACACTTGAACCAACTGAGTCATACTGGCCAAGGCCTTTTTGTTTGTTTTGTTTTAATATGTTTTTACTGATTTTTTTAGAGAGAGAGAGGAAGGGAGAGAGATTGAAACATCAATGTGAGCCCTGGCTGGTTTGGCTCAGCAGTTAGAGCATCGGCCTGTGGTCCAGAGAGACCTGGGTTCAGTTTCCGCTAAGGACACATACCTCAGTTGCTGTTTGTCCCCGGCCCTGGTTGGGTCGTGTGGATGGCGACCACTTGATGTGTCCCTTTCAGGTCAATGTTTCTCTCTCTCTCCTTCCTACTCTATCTGAACAAAATAGCAGATTTTTTTTCAATAAATACCCCTTTCTGTTAAAAAAAAGAGAGAGAAAGAAACATCAGTGTGAGAGAGAAACAGGTCAGCTGCCTCCTGCACGGCCCCCCCTACCTGGGATCGAGCCTGAAACCCAGGCATGTGCCCTGACTGGGAATGTAACTGGGACCTCTCAGTCCATGGGATGACCCTCAATCTACTGAGCCACACTGGCCGGGCTTAGGGTTTTTTTTTAATCCTCACTGGATATTTTTTCCTTTTTTTTTTTTTAGAGTGGAAGGCAGGGGGAGAGAAACATCAATGTGAGAGACGCATCAGTTGGTTTCCTCCCGCATGTGCCCCAACTAGATTGGAGGATTGGACCTGCAAACCCAGTTACATGCCCTTGACTAGGAATCGAACCTAAGACCCTTCTGTGCACAGGCTGACTCTCACCACGGAGCCGTGCCAGCCAGGGCTAAAAAATTGTCCCATGGGCCTTCTGTTCCATAAAATAGAACTAAACATCCAGACTTGACGATTTATAGAAAGATTACATTTTTCCAGAGGTTTAATATTAATTTTTTTTACCTTGTAATTTCTTTATTAATCATGCCAGTGCGGAAGCTGTAGAAACAGAACCAGAGTCCAGTAATAGCGCCACCATTGGCCTCACAAACCAGCAATTGGAAAAAAATGGTAAGTGTAAAAGTCAAGTTACTTCTCAGCTAGCCCCTTCCAGATGATCTTTGTACAAGAATGACTCATTATACATATTCTTTTTTTTATCCTCACCTGAGGACAGTTTTCCATTTTTTGTTCAGATAGAGTGGGAAGGAGAGAGAGGAAGAGAGAGAGAGAAACATTGATGTGAAAGGAACACATCAAGAGGCTGCCTCCCACACGACCCAACCAGGGCTGGGGACAAACTGCAACCGAAGTACATGCCCTTAGCGGAAACCGAACCCGGGTCTCTCTGGACCACAGTCCGACACTCTAACCGCTGAGTTAAACCGGCCAGGGCACCATACATATTCTAATAGCCTTCTACATCTTCTCAGTTGGTGACATCAAGTTCTACACAAGTCCCATTTCATTCACTAATGTTTGATGTAGAGCCAATAGCACCTTTTGTAGTTGAGCTTCAGCCTATTGATTGAGTTCTGCATTATCTTTCTTAAACTATACCTAGAAACACATCAGCTACCATTCTTTTGTTTTTTTAGTGTACAAAAACTTAAAATTTTCATGTAGTTTTTTTCATATTTATCCCAGCAAACATTAAAACACTGATTTTCTTGACAATATAAAATAAAATAAAAATCCTAGAGTTTTACGATGTCTTTGAATAATTATAAATGATCTATACCAAATGTATTAGCAAATCTTCTATTTTTTTAATTTAAATAAATTTTTTTATTCCACACTGGAGGATATTTTTCTATTTATCATCAGATAGAGGGAGAGAGAGAGAGACAGAGAGAAACATTGATGTGATAGAACCACACTGACTGGTTGCCTCCCGCATGACTTGACCAGGGCCAGGGATGAACTGCAACCGAGGTACGTGCCCTTGACAAGAATCGAACCCAAGACTCATTGGTCAGTGGCTGACACTCTAACCACTGAGCCAGACCGGCCAGAGCATTGGCAAATCTTTTAAAGTAACTTGTCTTTCTTTATCAGGTCTTTCCAAAGTTTTGGACATTATTTTCAAAAATATCTCTTTGTACTAATTTCACTGACTTGTTATTAAATTAACAAGTACTTTTGGCATAAACAGGTGTAAAAAAAAGCCACTCAGTAAGTTTAGAGCTCAACTTACCGGAAAAAACATGACTATTAAAGAGTAGCCTATTTTTTAAAAAAAGGAGAGAGCCCTGGCTGGTTTGGCTGAGCCATTAGAGCGTCGGTCTGCAGACCAGAGTCCTGGGTTTGATTCCGGCCAAGGGCATATACCTCAGTTGTGGTTGATCCCCAACCTTGGTTGGGGTCTTGTGGGTGGCAACCACTCAATGTGTCTCTCACATAGATGTTTCTCTCTGTCTCTCTCTCTCCCTTCCTCCCTCCCACTCTGTCTAAAGATAAATGTAAAAATATCCTAGGGTGAAGATTTTTTTAAAAAGGAGAGAGATTGGACCACCACTTCCCACTATACTCAGAAATCACTTCCCTGTGGACCACAATAAGGAAGACAATCTTTTATGATTTCCTGACTGAAATCCTTCAGCATGCCGTTGGCAATATCTTTTATGGAAAGCATCGAAAGCTTATGTTTATCCATTAGTAATTTGGTTAAGTGGAGGCTTGTTAAGAGTTTCTATTGTATTTTTGTTTGACCCTATTTCTATGCCACAAAAGTTATTATTAAATTTTTTATAGTCTGTACAGTCAGTCCTCATTTATCACCATGAATTAGTTCCAGACTCTACCACGATAAAAGAATTTCCACAAAGTAGGATTCTGTATACAGTAGTCCCTGCCACTTCAACCTTCGCGGCTTCACTCTGTCGTGATGTTTTCAAATACTATACTGTTCTGCAATGTACTATACTATACTATACACTATACTATACTATACTATACTATACTATACTATACTACACTATACTACACTACACTACACTATACTATACGCTATACTATACTATACACTATACTATACTATACTATACTACACTACACTATACTACACTCTACTACACTACACTATACTATACTATACTACACTATACTGGAAAAAAGCGCAATAGATTGAAGCCACAAAAGTCGAAGTGCGAAGTGGCGAGGGACGACTGTCCTTATTAAAATTTAGTAATTTTTTCACCGTTTTTTTGTGTTTGCCATTGCTTCTTATAGTTCAGTCATTCCTTCTGGGTTTAGTTTCTAGTTAAAGTACAGCCTTTAGCTGTTCTCTCAGAGATGTTACTTCTATACTGTGTGAAGTAATCTTTAGTTTGGTGTGACTGAGAATGTTTATTTACACTCATTTTTGAATGATAATTTAGCTTGATATAGGAGATTAGATTGACATCTGTCTTTCTTCAGTATTTTAAAGAAATTATTCCATTATGACTTGATATCTGATGAACAGAGGTCTATTGACCTGATTAGCTTTTCTTTGTAGAATATCTGTCTTTCCTTTTGGTAGCCTATATGATTTTTATTTCATCTTTTATATTCTTCATTTCTCTATAGTATGTTTGTTTTCATTTATTATGTTGAGAATTTGGTATGATTTTTTTTTTCTTCCTTTTTTTTTAGAGAGGAAGGGAGAGAGAGAGAGAGAAAGAGAAACATCGACTGGCCACCTCCTGCATGCCCCCACTGGGGATCGGGCCCACAACCTGGGAATGTGCCCTGACTGGGAATCAAACGGGCAACCTGATTTTGTTTTTTTTTATCCTCACCCGAGGACATTTTTCCGTTTTTTGTTCAGATAGAGTGGGAGGCAGAGACAGGAAGAGAGAGAGAGAGAAACATCAACATGAAAGGGACACAACGAATAGCTGCCACCCGCATGACCAACCAGGGCCGGGGTCAAACTGCAACCGAGGTACATGCCCTCAGCGGGAACCAAACCCGGGTTTCTCTCAACCGCAGGCCAACGCTCTAACCACTGAGCAAAACGGGCCAGGGCAAAACAGGCAACCTCTTGGTGCATGGGTCAACGTTCAACCACTGAGCCACAACAACTGGGCAGTATAATGTTTTAAATAAGGACTCATCATCTAATCTGGAAAATACTCTGACATTATCTCTATTTTTGTTTTTTAATTAGCAATAATCATACCTCGGATAAACCTCATTGGCTACAATACTGACATTGTGCAAAGCTCTAACATTATCTCTTCAATAATATTACTTTTGGCCCTGGCCAGTTTGGCTCAGCGGTTGGAGCGTGGACCAATGAGTTGTGGGTTCGATTCTGGTCAAGGGCACATACCTCGGTTGCGATTCGTCCCCAGTCCTGGTTGGGGTAGTGCAGGAGGCAGCCACTCGATGTCTCCCTTTCATGTCAGTAATTCTCTCTGTCTCTCTCCCTCCCGCTCTGTCTGAACAAGAATGGAAAAATGTCCTCTGGTGAGGATAAAAATATATATATTACTTTTGCCCTAATTCCTCAAATTTTTTTCCTGAAATCCTTGTAAGATATATTTTAGAAATTTACCCTTTGACCTTCCCAGTTTAACTTCCATTTGATAGCTTCCTTCCCTTTCTCTGTGCTTCTTTGTGCTTTAGAGCTTCCTTTTCATTGCTATTTTCTCTTACACCAAGTCTAATTTATTATGTTAATGTATCACTTGAATTTTTACTACAATGTCTTCATTTTTTGTTTTGTAAGTATTCTTTTTTTCCTTCTGTATCATTCTTTCCCTTTTGATTTCTGTGCCTATTTAGGGGGTTAATATTCAGGATATGTAAAGAACTCCTACAGCCTGGCCAGTGTGGCTCAGTTGGTTGAGCATCATCCCATGTACCAGAACGTCACTGATTCAGCTTCAGGTCAGGGCATTTGCTTGGGTTGCAGGCTTAATCCCCAGTAGGGGGCGTACACGAGGCAACTAATTAATATATCACTTTCACACCAATGTTTCTCTCTCCCTCTTTCTCTAAAAATCAGTTTTTTAAAAATCTTAAAAAATAAAGTTATACCATCCTGGCTGGATTGGCTCAGCAGTTAGAACGTCAGCCTGCAGACCAAAGAGTCGCGGGTTCAGTGTCTGCTAAAGGCATATACCTTGGTTGCAATTTGTCTCTGGCCCCGATTGGGGTCGTGTGGGTGGCAACCAGTTGATGTGTCTCTCTCACGTCGATGTTTCTCTCTTTCTTCCTCCTTCTCTCCCTCCTGTTCTATCTGAAGATGAATGCAAAGATGTCCTCGGTTGACGATAAAAAAATTAAAAGTTGCCCTGGCCAGTTTGGCTCAGCGGTTAGAGTGTCGGCCTGCGGTCCCGAGAGACCCGGGTTCGGTTCCCGCTAAGGGCATGTACTTCGGTTGCAGTTTGTCCCCGGCCCTGGTTGGTCGTGCGGGTGGCAGCCACTCGATGTGTCCCTTCACGTCGATGTTTCTCACTCTCTCTCCCTTCTTCTCTCTCCCTCCCATTCTATCTGTACAAAAAATGGAAAAATATCCTCGGGTGAGGATAAAAAAAAAAAAAACAATTAAAAGTTATACCTAAAGCTAAATCCCCAGCCCCACTCTATTATCTTTCTTCCTTTCCTCCCCAAAGTAATGATTAATTAAAGCATAACTTAATTGTGTTCTAAAATTTCACATAAGTGGCAACACCCAATTTGTATTCTTTTCCCATTTGCTTTTCTCACTTCACGGTATGTTTTTTTTTTTTTCCTTCATTGATGTAAGAGAAGAGGAAGGGATAGAGAGAGAGAGAAACATCTATGAGAGAGAAAATCAATTGGCCGCCTCCTGCATGCCCTCCGCTGGGGATCAGGCCCGTGCCCTGACTGTAAATCAAACCAGCAACCTCTTTGTGCATGGGTCAACCCTCAACCACTGAGCCACGCTCGCTGGACCTCGGTATGTTTATTTATTTATTTTTCTTTTTTTCTTTTTCATCTTTATTGAATGTATTACAGATGTTCCTCATTTTTTCCCCCATTGACCCCCTCCTTCCCACTCCCGCCCCCCTCCTGCCTTTTCCCAAGAGTTGTCTGTGTCCCAGTTGTCTGTGTCCATTGGTTATGCGTATAGTTCTTTGATTTATTTCTTCCCACCCCCAACCCCCTTCTCTTTGAGGTTTGTCAGTCTAGCACCTAAATTGTTCTTAATCCCCTCACCTTTTTCACCCATTCCCCCAACCCCGCTCCCATCTGGCAACCAACAAAATGTTCTCTGTATCTATGAGAATGTATCTGTTCTGCCTGTTCATTTTGTTTGTAGATTCCATTGTCGATAGCTATGTATTTATTGCCATTTTGTTTGTTCATATATTTTATCTTTTTCTTGAAAAAGACCCCTCGACATTTCATATAACAGTTTGGTGGTGATGAACTCCTTTAACTTTTTCTTGTCTGGGAAATTCTTTATATGGCCATCGATTCTAAATGACAGCTTTGCAGGATAGAGTAATCTTGGTTGCAGGTTCTTGCTTTTCATCTGTGAATATTTCTTGCCACTCCCTTCTGGCCTGCAAAGTTTCTTTTGAGAAATCAGCTGACAGCCTTATGGGAACTCCCTTGTAGGTAACTAACTGCTTTTCTCTTGCTGCTTTTTTGAGTTTCTCTCTTTGTCTTGAACCTTTTGCATTTTGATGATGATGTGTCTTGGTGTGGGCCTCTTGGGGTTCATCTTGTTTGGGACTCTCTCTGCTTCCTGGACTTGTATGTCTGTTTCCTTCCCCAAGTTAGGGAAGTTTCCTGCCATTATTGTTTCAAATAGGTTTTCGATTTCTTGTTCTCGCTCTTCTCCTTCTGGCACCCCCAAGATGCGAATGTTGGCATGCTTGAAGTTGTCCCAGAGGCTCCTTCCACTATCCTCATTTTTTTGGATTCTTTTTTCTTTTTGCTGTTCTGATTGGGCGTTTTTTGCTTCCTTATATTCCAAATCGATGGTTTGCTTCTTGGATTTACGTACTCTACTATTGAATCTGTGTAAATTATTCTTTATTTCAGTTAGTGCCTTCTTCATTTCTGACATGTCCTTTTTTATGCTCTTGAGGCCCTCACTAAGTTCACTGAGCATCCTTATAAGCAGTATTTTGAACTCAGCATCTGTTAGGTTGCTTATCTCCATTTCACTTAGTTCTTTTCCTGGAGATTTTTTTCTGTTCTTTCATTTGGGACCTGTATCTTTGTTTCCTCATTTTGGCTGCCTCCCTGTGTTTGTTTCTATGTATTACTTAACGAGAGGGATGGGGCTGGCTGAGACCAGATGCTGCTTGTTTGAAAGAATTCAGGAATTGCCCTGGCCAGTTTGGCTCAGCGGTTGGAGCGTCGGCCTGCGGTCCAGAGAGACCCGGGTTCGGTTCTCACTAAGTACCTCAGTTTTGGTTTGTCCCAGGACCTGGTTGGGTTGTGTGGGTGGCAACCTCTCCATGTGTCCCTTTCACATCGATGTTTCTCCCGCTCTATCTGAACAAAAAATGGAAAAAAAAAAAAAAGAATTCAGGAAAACCTGAAGCAGGAGCCAAGACAGGCCAATCCTATGGTAGAGCAACTGGCAACAGCTTGGGTGGACCTGAAAGTCAGGTGGGGCGGGGCCTCAGGGAATCACCAGTGCAGGACAACCAGTGTGAGCCAGGTTGCTGGAGTCCCAGGTATGGCGGCTGTCTGCCGCCCCAAGGAAGGGCTCATCAAAGGAACAAAGGCCTCTGACAGCATGTCTGTCCACGAGAAAGACTCCTCTCCAACCCTTGCTCTAATGCCAAACAGCTCAGTTCTTCCCTGTATGTCTCTGGGGCCCCTCGAGCTGCCTCCCCTCCAAGCTTAGAGGGAGTGAGTCCGGTAAGTCTGTGCGCAGGCGCCTTAAGAGGATCTGCCTGGGGCTCCAGCCGCCTCAGCCTTCCTGAGCCTCAGTTCCTGCTGGTTTTTCCAGCCAGAAGTTATGGGGATTCTCTTCCTGGCACTGGGACCCTGAGCGGGGTGCCTGGTGTGGGACAGGGACCCCTCAGTCCTCAGAGAGGACCTTCCCAGCTGAGGTATCCTGATTTTTATCCGACACACGTGGGTGTGGGACCAGCCCGTCTGCCTCCGCCCCTCCTGCCAGTCTCCATGTGGCTGCTGCTTTAATTCCGTAGTTGTAGGACTTCCATTCAGCTTGATTTCAGGCGGTTTTGAATGATGGTTGTTCTGTAGTTTAATTGTAACTTTGATGTGGTTGTTGTTTTTTAATCCTCACCTGAGGGTACTTCTCCTTTTATCATCAGATAGAGTGAGAGGAAGAGAGAGAGGGAGGGAAAGAGAGAAACATGGACTTGGTTGCCTCCAGCAGGACCCAACCAGGGCTGGGCCAAACTGCAACCAAGGTACATGCCCTTGACCAGAATCGAACCCGTGACTCTCTGGTCCATAGGCCAATGCTCTAACCACTGAGCCAAACCGGCCAGGGCTCTACATTGCTTTTTAATTATTATAAGTTTAGAGTTTGCTTTAATAGTTTGGACAACAAGTGACTCCTGGCCCTCATCCTCCTTTTTATTTTTCAGAAATTTGATTTTCTCCATAAAGATCTTAAACAGTTGTTAATAGATTTATATGTGGGTATCTTGCTCTAATTTTGTTGCTATTGTGAAAAATATCTTACTTCAAATTATATTTTTGTTTCTTGCACCTATGCTAGCACTATTCATTTTTGTGTATGGCATTTGTACCTTGCTGGATTTCTATTAGTGCTAATATTAATTAGATATATCAAGATGACCGTTTTGATTTTTCCTGCCCAACTAAGCACACATTAGTTATAATTTAAGTTATTAAAAATGGCCTGGCCAGTGTGGCTCAGCACTTCAGCATCAACCCATGCACCAAGAGGTCACTGGTTCAATTCCTGGTCAGGGCACATGCCCATGTTGTGGGCCAGATCCCCAGTTGGGGGCATGCAGGAGGTGGCCAGTCAGTGTTCTCTCTCATTGATCTCATTGGTGTGTCTCTCTCCCTCCCTAAAAATCAATAAAGAAAAAAAAATTTTTTTTTAGGTTATTAAAAAAATTTTTTTTAAGTTATTAAAGAAAGAATATACAAATGATATTGACAAGGATTGTAAATTAAGAGTTGAAATCTGTATTTCGACTTTATTTTTAAATATTTATTTTAATGTGATTGTATATGTCTTTCAGATGCTGAATATACAAAGTCTCCCTTGGCACCTACATTCTGTACTCCTGGTTTGAAAATTCCTTCCACAAAGAACAGAACAGCTTTGGTAAATTTTCATAAAATTGAAAACTAATTTTGTTACTAATGATTCAGATACAACTATTTCCAAACTCATACAGTTTGTTTAAAAACTTAGAATAATTCGATCTTTAGTTGTATATTTACCATGTACTTCTGGAGGGTAATTTAGTATATATCAAGAGCTTTAAATTTTTTTATACCTTTTTATCATGTCTCAGAATTTATTCTAAGGCTTACTGGGACAAATTTATTACAGCAAGGATGTTATTTTGAAGAGCAAAACATGGAAACAATGTTAATGTCAAATGGTAGAGGAGAAGATAATAAGGTATGTCTATGAGGTTCAGTGTTACATAATTATCATGTTTTATATAACTGTCATGTTTTTGTAAAACATAACTTACAAAAAAACATTTTTAAGAAATATATAACAATAAGGAAAACAACATGCATGTGTATGTGCACATCCACACACACAGTTGTCCTCTCTTAGCCATGGTTTCACCTTTTTTGGTTTCAGTTACCTGTGATCAACAGCAGTCTGAAAATATTAAATGGAAAATTCCAGAAGTAAACAAGTCATAAGTTTTCAGTTATGCTCCTTTAAGTAGAGTGATAAAGTCATCCTTCCATAAAATCCCATCTAAGACATGAGTCATCCCTTTGTCTGCTGTGTCCACACTGTAGACACTACCCTCATATTAGTCACTTAGTAGTTGTCTCAGTTATCACATCAGCTGTCAAGGTGTCACAGTACTTGTGTTCAAGTCACAGAATTTGTATTACCATATATTGTTATAATTGCTCTGTTTTTTTATTAGTTACTGTTGATCTCTTATTGTGCCTCACTTACGAATTAAACTTTATTATAGGTATGTATGTATAAGAAAAAACATAGTACAAAAGGGTTTAGTACTATCTAGGGTTTCAGGCATTCACTGGGGGTCTTGGTACGTATCTCCTGTGGATAAGTGGGGACTACTATATTTTATTTTATTTATTTAATATATTTTTATTGATTTTATTTTATTTTATTATTTTTTGTTTTTTTAAATGTGTTTTATTGGTTTTTTTAAAGTGAGAAAAAGGGAGAGGGAGATAGAAACATCATTGAGAAAGAATAGCATCAACCTCTATCAACTGCCTCCTGCATGTGCCCTACCAGGGATCCAGCCTGCAACCCGGGCATGTGCTTTGACTAGAACTTGAACCAATAACCTCTTGGTGCATGGGTCAATGTACTGATCCACACCAACGGGGCTATTTTTATTGATTTTCTTTTTAGAGAGAGAAAGGGAAAGAGATAAAAATATCAATGTGATAGACAAACATCAATCTGCTGCCTCCTGCACACTCCCCACTAGGGATGGAGCCCACAACCCAGGCATGTGCCGTGACCAGGAATGTAACTGGGACCTCTCAGTCCTTGGGATGACGCTCAATCCACTAAGCCTCGCTGACTGGGTGGGACTACTATATTTTAAGGAAAAAGAAGTAATAGAAACACACCAAAATGTGGCTATTTATGGGTGATTTTTATGCCTTTTTTTTTTATTTTTGAATTTTTCCCAGTGAACAAATTTACTATTAACATCCCCTTTTAAAGTTGGTATGACTACTTAAGACAACCCATATGGTAAACCAGGCTGTCCAGAACTGTCTACAGTGATAGAAATGTACTGTGTTCTGTGCTGTCGGGTATGGTAGCTCCTAGTCACAGCCAGCTGCTGAGCATATAAAGTGTGGCCAGTGCATCTACAGAACTAGTTTTTATATTATGGTTTTATTCAGTTCAAACAGCCCCAGGTGGTTGTGCCCCTGTGTTGGGCACGGTAGCTGTAGAGAAACAAAATGCTGGGCCTTCCTCAGATCTGCTTGTTTCCTCTGGTACCTGGCGCACTTGTCTGTGCTCTGCCTCTCCTCTGCTCATTGTTGTTGCCCAGGACGAAGGTGGAGGTGAACTGTCTAAATCAGGGGTTCGGTCCATTTTTTCATACTAAGCTCTAACTCAGCCTTTATTGGTAATGAAGATGGTACTTTGTCCTCCATATGCCATTTCTTTGTTGATTTTATTTAGTACTCGATCAGGGAAGAGGGAGGGAGGGGGTCATTTCTGGCCTATTTAGAGACCCCAACAGAACTAACAATTTTTATTTACTACATTTTATATCACCATAATTTAATGATTTATTTTTATTCGTTAGGTATTATCAGAGTATCCATTATCAAAAACAAATAGTTCGTCAAATGATTTAGAAATGGAAGATTGTACATCGTTAGTTTTGAATTCAGACAAGTGCTTTGAGAATTGTGCAGCTCCCTCTTCCCCTGTGATTTCTTCTCACGAGAATCTTCTCAGAACACCTACACCTCCAAAAGTAACTGCAATTCCAGAAGACGTTCTCCAGGTTACTTTTTTCCCTCTGATACATTTTTTCAAAATTAGGCTATTATATAATCTGTGATGTGAACTATTATTTATCATTGGTCTCTGTGCTGGTTTGGGTATTGAGAAAAGCTAAATTCTGGGCTGCTGGGTCTACTGCCTGGTTAAGGTTCTTCTGAGTTGAGCAAAAGCTACTGACATCATCATACTTTTATACCCTTGGGCATTTTCTCTTTAACTTTAAGTTCAGCAGTGTACTCTTTTTTTTATTTTTTATTTTTAAATTTATTTTTATTGTTGAATGTATTACAGATGTCCCTGCTTTTCCCCCTCCTTGACCCCCTCCTCTCCACTCTCAACCCCTCCTGATTTCCTGGAAATTATTCTTTATTTCAGTTAGTGCATCCTTCATTTTTGACTGGTCCTTTATTATTCTCTTGAGGTCCTCACTAAGTGCCTTGATGTTCTCACGAAGTTCCTTGAAATTCTCACTAAGTTCATAGAGCGTCCTTCTAAGCAGTGTTTTCAACTCTGCATCTGATTAGTTGCTTATCTCCATTTCGTTTAGTTCTTTTCCTATAGTTTTGTTCTGTTCTTTCATTTGGGACATGTTTCTTTGTCTCCTCATTTTGGCTGCTTCCCTGTGTTTGTTTCTATGTATTAGGTAGAGTTGCTATGTCTCCTAAGCTTTGTAGGGTGGCCTATTATTGTAGGTGTCCTGTAGGGTCCAGTGGCACAGTCTCCTTGATCGCCCCAGCTGGGCCCTCGAGGTGTACCCCTAAGTGTGGACTGTACACCCTTCTGTTGTAATTGAGTCTTGATTGCTGTTGGCACATCAATGGGAGGGATTTACCTAGGCTGATCAGTTGCAAGGACTGGCTGTGCTCACAGACCACAGACCTCTGACTACCTTGGAAGATCAGCTGTGCAGGGCCCACCACACAGAGCAAGACTTAACTTCAGCAGGGCTCTGGTACCCACGGAGTCCACTGAGTGTGTCCCTTGTGGAGGTGGTTGGGTGGTGGTGGTTCGATGTGGTCTGAAACTGTCCACTGGGTGTGCTGGCTCTGGGGCAAGGTCAGCCACTGCCTGTGTTCTACCTGGGGCCACCAGGCATAAGCTACAAAGTGGTTTGCCAAAGCCTGCTTCTAGTGCTGGGCTTGGAGGTGCCCAGGAAAAGGCAAGTTGTGAACCAAGGCTGGTTGCTCCTAGTGTTAGCCTGGGTCCACTTAACGAGAGGTATGGGGCTCACTGAGACCAGATGCTGCTTGTTTGAGAGAATTTAGGAAAATCTGATGCAGGAACCAAAACAGACCAATCCTGTGGTAAAGCCACTGGGAACAGCTTGGGTGGGCCCTAAAGTTGGGTGGGGCAGGGCCTCAGGGAGTCAGCAGGGCGGGGCTACCAGTGTGAGCCAGGTTGCTGGAGTCCCAGGTATGGCGGCTGTCTGCCGCCCCAGGGAAGGGCTCACCAAAGGAACAAAGGCCTCTGACAGCACGTTTGTCCAGGAGAAAGCCCCCTCTCCAGCCCTCGCCCCAGTGCCAAACAACTCACTTCTTCCCTGTATGTCTCTGGTGCCTTTCAAACTGCCTCTCCTGCACTGGAGCTCAGAGGGAACGGGTCCGACTAACTCCTGTGGGTGCCCTTTAAGGATCTGCCTGGGGCTCCAGCAGCCTCAGCCTCCCTGAGCCTCAGTTCCCGCTGGTTTCACAGCCAGAAGTGATGGGGATTCTCTTCCTGGCACTGGAACCCTGAGCTGGGCGCCTGGTGTGGGACGGGGATCCCTCAGTCTTCAGGGAGGACCTTCCCAGCCAGTGTCCCTCCTGATTTTTAGCTGCTACACGTGGGTGTGGGACCAGCCAGTTGGCCTCCGCCCCTCCTACCAGTCTGGATGTGGCTGCTGCCTTAATTCCGTAGTTGTAGGACTTCCATTCAGCTCTGTGTCAGGTGGTTCTGAATGATGGTGGTTCTATAGTTTAATTGTAAATTTGATGTGGTCGTGGGAGGAGGCGACACCACATTTACCTACGCTGCCATCCTGACCGGAAGTCAGCCATGTACTCTTATAATATTTTCTAATAGTTGTTCAACTGTGATGGCCATGTTGACCACTGTTCCCATGAGAGGTGTTGCTGGCCATGTCAGGAATGTCATTTATCCTATAGTTCTTCAGAGGCAGGTAACGTGAATAACTTACATCAGTATATCTTTATTTATATATATATATATATATATATCAAAATCTTACCTGCATCTTATCTGAGGGAATTTTATGTGGCTTCCTAGAATTGTTTCCCCAAGAATTTTTCATTCTAACCCAGTGGTAACACTAGCTACCGTTGCTCAGTTTAAAGCATCCTTGACCATGCAGGTAGTATTTTTTTTTTTTAATCTTCAGATAGAACGGGAGGGAGGGAAGGAAGGAAGGAGAGACAGAGAGAGAGAGAGAAGAAGGAAGGAAGAAAGAGATGTGAGTGGAACACATTGATTGACCGCTTCCTGCATGACCCTGACCAGGGCCGGGGACAAACTGCAACCAAGGTACCTGCCCTTGACCAGAATTGAACCCGTGATTCATTGGTCTGCAGGCTGACGCTCTGACTGCTGAGCCAACATGCAGGTGGTATTCATATTCAATCACCAGTGTAGTCTGAAGGCAAGCCGTTGTTGCCAATTATCTCAGGATATAAAATTTTCTATTTATTTTTTTATCAGTGTTTTTTACATTTCAGATGTCTTGGACCTCAGTTTGAGAAACACTGATTAAAATAGAATATTGCCCTGGCCGGTTTGGCTCAGTGGTTAGAGTGTCGGCCTGCGGTCCGGAGAGACCCAGGTTCGTCTCCCACTAAGGGCACGTACCTCGGTTGCAGTTTGTCCCCAGCTCTGGTTGGGTCCTGCGGGTGGCAACCTCTCGATGTGTCCCTTTCACGTCGATGTTTCTGTCTCTCTTCCTCTCTCTCCCTCCCACTCTGTCTGAACAAAAAAGGGAAAAATGTCCTCGGGTGAGGATAAAAATATATATATATATTAGAATCTCCAGTTCTTTAGTACACCATCATTTACTACTAGTCACCTGATTTATAACAACTGCCAAATCTACTCAATAACCACCAGTCTGATATCAAGCACCCAGCCAGTAGGAGTTGTAGTGTTTGACAATTATAATAACCATTCTAGCAACCTTCCCAGCTTATGGAGAGCTATGAGAATGCTACAGCTACTTGGGAAAATATGTAAACGCCATTAGAACTCATCCTAAGATATCAGTAAAGGGTTCATTATCCTCTTTTCTCTGTCTTTTCTGTTTTGTCCGTGTATTATAATAAATTGAGAGAGGAAGGAGAGCAGTTTCTGTCTATAAGCATTTTAGAGAGTTCCACTTTCCTTTTTATTTCTATATTAAAAGAGGAAAACCTTGTATTTAATGTGTCACTTCTCTATGTCTGAAAACAATCATAGCTGATATTTCAGACTACTTATAATCTATATAACTGAGGACCTTCTGAGTATTTATTTAGCCTCTTTCCTATATATATTTCCCCTAACATTTTTGTAAAGGCTTAATTTGTTACAGGGACATACTGCTGCTTGTTTCCATTATCCTTAGTGTACATTTTAGAAGGCTTTAGGAAGCAAGCCTCTACACCCAAGTTAAAGTTCTAACGTTGCCATCACTTCTGTTGAGCATCCATCTGTGCTGCTGAAAAATTAGTGCTGTTTTAAGCAACCCATGCTTTCAAATTTTCCTTGGGTTTCTTGAATGTTTTATAACACCTCCAAATTTATGTTGTTCATATGACTTAATAAAAAGGAATTTGCTTATTTTTAGGTTTTATTAAAATATAACCCAAACCTAGCAGCTACTCCGGTAGCAGTTCGGGCATGCCACCCAGCAGAGCATCCGTTACCAGACGCACAGGCCCGCATGTCTGAGATGTCGGCAACAGCAACACTGGTGAAAGTGAGTAGTTACCATTCTAAAGGAAGTACATGTGTCGTTTGAGGAGGACATTTGAAAACTAACACTTGAATGGTAGTAAAAAATATTTAATTGACATTTAGTAGCTTGGGTTAGCAGCTTAAATCTCTCGAGATAGAACTTACGATCCCTAAATCTGACTTCCACAGTAGCAAGTTTGATAATATCATTGGAAATTTACTCCCAACTAGTTTATTTTTTTATCCTCACCCGAGGATATTTTTATATTTATCTTCAGATAGAGCAAGAGGGAGAGGGGGAGGAAGAGAGAGAGAGAGAGACATATTAATTGGCTGCCACCCGCATGACCCTGACCTGGGCCAGGGACGAGCTGCAACCGAGGTACGTGCCCTTGGCCAGAATCGAACCCAGGACTCTTTGGGCATTGGGCCACGCTATAACCACTGAGCCAAACCGGCCAGGGCCCCAACTATGTTAAAATATATATAACCACAATGTTGTATCATTTGTTTTGCTGATTGTTATTAATTATACCTAGCTGATATTTCTTATTTATATCTTTTTACAGAAATTCTAGTGGGTTCATCTGAACAGAATGAGATGGAAGCAAAACTGGATTTTGTTTTTCACATTCCTATGTCTTTGTCTTTCTAAAAACCAACCCATATCAAAGATGAGCATGGACACTAATGTCACAATTTGCTTATTAAGTTTTGATTTAGTTTATAAGTTTTTTTTCCTTTATTGATTTTAGAGAGAGAGGAAGTGAGAGAGAGAGAAACATCGATGTTAGCGGGACATATTGATTGGTTGCTTCCTCCACGGCCCTAATCAGATGAACTACAACTGAGGTATGTGCCATTGACCGGAATTGAACCTGTGACTCATTGGTCTGCAGGCTGACGCTCTAACCGCAGAGCCAAACTGGCCAGGGTGCTCAGTTACTGTTTTTAAATAGCATAACTATTTCACTGATCTCAAATTTACCGTACCTTATCTAGTCATAGATTAAGTAATAGTAGGAAGCAGGATCAACCTTTTTTTCTTTATTGATTTTAGAGAGAGAAGAAAGGAAAGGGAGAGACAGAAACATCAGTGAGAACCTCCTGCACATCCCCCACTGGGGATTTGGCCCACAATTCGGGCATGTGCCCTGACTGGGAATTGAACCAGCAACCTCTTAGTGCATGGGTCAACGCTCAATCACTGAGCCACACCAGCCAGGCAGGATGTTATTTAAAAAATTAAATGTTACTGGTCTCTGAGCTGGATAGTTACTGCTGTCTGCAGGAGGGGGCATCTTTCTTAATCCCAGCTCTGCCCTCCTCCTGTCTCCTCCATGACTGTCCCAAAGTTTCTCATACCTTATTTCACATTGCTCTTTTAAAACACAGTTGTTTACAAACAACTGCTTAATTTAGGAAAAGAATTTACAGGCCAGGATAACTACACTGTATTAGATTTCAGATGTTGGAATCGGACTTCCCTGCTGTAAGAATGTGTTTTTTTTCTTTTTTGCTCCCAACTTTTTACTTGGTGTAAGTTTTCATTCTCTCAACTCAGGTCTTTCCAGCATATGGCTGCTGACCTCTCCGTTCCCCTCAGTGGCTGCCCACAGAGCCTGAGGCCTTACTCTCTCTCTGGAAGATTCTGATGACCCTTCCTGGGCCAGGCGCCCTTCTCTGGACTGTCAGCTGTGATCACAGGACCGGCAGAATGGGTCTAGAGGTTTCTGATAGCTTCACACTACCTTGCCCATCAAGCTTGAGATCCTTCCAATTAAGTATGACTGGACAGTAATTTTATCTAATTAAGTTCATAAAAGTACTTTGGCAAACATTTCAGCTTATGGCCAGTGAGAAAATAAGGACCTAGTGTATTGTGAAGATCAGCCCAGAATCTGAGAAGGTACGATTGACAAGTATGACAGGAGCTTCACAGGCTGCCCTGTGGGGAATCGGAGCCTTGAAAGTGAAATGTCAAGTCTTGCTATCTTCATTTTGTCAGATAATTCATTAACAGAAAACGTGATTTATTGTGTTCTAGGAATTACTGTGTAGTTGTAATTTTTGTTAATATGTAAAATAAATTATTTTCAAGATACTTAGTTTTATTTCAAGGTAAAGCGCTAGTCACCTTATATATGTGATGACTCCCACATTTCTGCCAGCCTTGCATTAACCACTAGCACAGCTCGTGGACAGAATGCACAAGACGGGTGGACTGCTGAGGAGGAAGAGAGGTGGTGTCCAGTGTACTAGGACTGAAGCCTGGAAATTTTTTTTTAAATGATGGTTGTATTTTATTTTGTTACAGTGATCTCTGATTACTGATCATGAGCTTCAGAGTATGTATTTATTTTTCTTCATTGATTTTTTTTTTTTTTTAGGGAGAGAGAGAGAGAGATAGAAACATCGAAAAGAGAGAACATCAATTGGCCGCCTCCTGCATGCCCCGGACTGGGGATTCAGCCCACAACCTGGGCATGTGCCCTGACCAGGAACTGAACCAAACCGGCGACCTCTTGGTGCATGGGTCGACGCCCAACCACTGAGCCACACTGGCCACGCTGAAGCCTGGGACTTGTACATTAGAGGATTGAGAAGAGGCCATTAGCAGGAAGGATTTCACAGGGAGTGACTGATCCTGTCAGCAGTGCTGAGAGTTCAAGTGAAAAGGAGACAAATTGCCCATTAGACTGGGTGCAGAATGGATGACGTTGTCAGCACTGATGAATTTGATGGCATGCTGGGGACTGAAGAGGAAACAGGGTGAGGCAGCAAAGCGGTGGCCTGGTGAAAAGTGGTGCAGCATTAAGGGGCATACAGAGAAAAACAAGGTGTTTTAAGATGTAAATAATGATTCATTAAGCATTTCTCATGCCTGTTGGGTGTCTCCACTTGTTTTGTAATGGCCTCTCAAATTCAATTTGTCTGTTTCTCTTTCCCTGACCACTTTTCTCCTGTGATCCTAGTTTCTGTTCCTTAGAACTATGAGTCCAGCTTACTAAGCTTCAGATTTGAGGGTCTTTCAAGCATGTCTGTTGAAAATCCTGTCTTCCATTGCTGTGAAAATGAAACTCAAGACCCTTGATACAGCCCTTGACCTTGTAGTTCACCCTGGGTCACTTCTCCCTCCTGGAAGTGTGCTGCCTGCCCAAATGCTCTCCCTGCCCGCTAGGCTTAACTAACTCCCTCTCCTCTTTATGCTATAGATACTTGACATTTTCACCTGCCCACTATTACTGCTTCTTTATTTTTACTTTTTAACCCTCAACCAAGGATATTTTTCCATTGATTTTGGGGGTGGGGGGAATAGAGTGGGAGAGGAGAGAAACATTGATGTGAGAGAGACAGATTGGTTGCCTCCCACATGTCCCCAACCAGGGCCAGGGATGGAACCTGCAACCCAGGTACGTCCCCTTGACTGGGAATCAAACCCAAGACATTTCTCGTCCACAGGCGAGTGCTCTGACCACTGAGCAATACTGACGAGGGCTATTAATTGCCTTTTTTTTTTTATCCTCACTCGAGGACATTTTTCCATTTTTTGTTCAGATAGAATGGGAGGGAGAGAAAGGAACAGAAAGAGAGAGCGAAACATCGACATGAAAGGGACACATCGAGTGGCTGCCACCCACACGACCAACCAGGGCCGGGGACAAATTGCAACCGAGGTACGTGCCCTTAGCGGGAACCAAACCCAGGATCTCTGGACCGCAGGCCGACGCTCTAACCACTGAGCAAAACCGGCCAGGACTATTATTGCCTCTTTAAAGGAAAACAATATTCTGATTTTTGTTGAAGAACTCAACCAGCCCAGCTCCAAACTCAACCAGCTAGCTTTCCAGTCCCTGACAGCACCAGTCAGTGATAGGCATGGGCCACTGTCAGGTTGTGAGAGCCAGTTCTGGACTTTGGGGACTCTGGGAAAGGGCAGCACTTTTCTGGATATGCAGACATCCTGGGAGCTGCTGGCCGCTGTCGTCATACCAAAGGGAGAGCCCGAGAATGGATGGAGCCAGCGCAGAATCCCAGGCAGAATGTACTTGGGAGCTGAGGTCTGAGAGCTTTGAGCCCAGAGTGTTCCAGCTGGGCCTGACACCAGAACTCTACCCCTGTGCTTCAGCTAGCTGGAGTGCTTGTTACCGGTACACCTTGGAGACACTGTGGGTTCAGTTACAGATCACCCTAATAAAGCAAGATGTAATCTTGTCCATGGAGGACCTTGCCTCCAATTTGTAAATAAAGTGACATCTGTGAAGCTCACTGAATGTGTGCCTGGATCTGAAATCGTGGCTTGTCAGCTTCAGGCCTCAGATTAAATGTTATTTATCAAAGACACCTGTTTTCCAAGGCTAAAAGATGGCCTCCCTCCCCCATAGTTCCTTCTCAGCACCCTATTCTCATCTTTTCATAATCCGTGGTAGAAATTGATTTTGTTTTTCCAGTTTTTTTTTAACCCTATGTTTTCCATTGCTTTTTAGAGAGTGGGAGGGAGGGGGGGAGTGGGAAACATCGATTGGTTGCCTCCCGCATGCACTCCTACTGGGATTGGGAATTGAACCTGCAACCCAGGTATGTGCCATTGACTAGAAAACCACAACCCTTTGGGACACCAGCTGATGCTCTAACCGCTGAGCCACACCAGCCAGGACTAAAACTTTTTCAATTATAGTTTTTATTCAGTGTTATTTTGTGTTAGTTTCAGGTGTATGTAGTAAGATATTTGAGCCTGGCCAGTGTGGCTCAGCGGTTGAGCATCAACCCATCCACCAAGAGGCCACCAGTTAGAGTCCTAGTCAGGGCACATGCCCAGGTTGTGGGCTGGATCACCAGTGGGGGTCATGCAAGAGGTGGCCAGTTGATGTTCTCTTTCATCGATGTTTCTCTCTCCCCCTTCCTCTCTAAAATCAATACAGAAAAAAAAAGTGAGTATTTGAGTGCATGTCTGTCTAATATTTGTCTCCCCTGCTGGACCATACATTCAGTGAGGGCAAGGACCTTGTTTTATTCATTACGCTAGTACCTAGCAATTTTAAGTATTTACTGAATTAGTGATAACAGTCAACAGTTATGCTGGGTATGGCCCTAAATAGTAACCTATTTAATTCTTAGATTAACTGAAGTAGGTGCTGTCCTGTTTTTCAGATGAGGAAATTGTGGCTTTAATGACTGCCTTCCTTTTCCATGTCCCGTTCATTGTCTACCCCAAATCTTGTTGATGGCCTCCAGCGTCTCTGGGATGTGTCCTCTCTTCTTTATCCTGAATTCAGCCAAAAAGTACAAAAGTATTACATTGATGGTGCAAACTCTGTCACTCCACTTGTACACCTCTGTTCAGGCTACACCCTTTAACAGAAGAGGAACTCCAACCCTTAGGAGCTGGACAAGTTCAAGTGCCATCTGCAGTAGCAACTTCTTTCTCGTCACTTTTTTTTTTCCCCCTTTATTTTAAGGCGGGGAAGGCATCGATGAGAGAGAACATCAATTGGCCGCCTCCTGCATGTCCCCCACTGGGGGATTTGGCCCATCACTTGGGCATGTGCCCTGACCAGGATCAAACTGGCAACCTCTTGGTGCATGGGTCGATGTTTAACCACTGAGCCACACCGGCCGGGCTCTTGTCACTTTTATCCCCTTTCATTACAAGACTGTAAGACTTTGAGGAAGGATCTGTACCTGTGTCATATTTATGTTTCTCCAGGCCCACAGAATCTGGTATGTAATAAATGCTTTATTCCCTAGCAAAGTGCTGCAACGTATGAGGTAATCAGGAACACTACAAATTCTGATAATTTCCAATAATTACTCTAGAATTTATACAATTTTGAAAATGCCTTAGGTTTACTTTGTTCATAATTTAAATTGCTTTAATTTCATCAATCCTATCTGAAAATTTCTTAGGAAATGGTTATGACTGGGCTGACCAGCCTGGGTAGGGTAGGAAATTCTGAACCAAAGGCACAAGTGAGCGGGCTGCAGATGCCTTACTTTCTTTTCTAAGAGCTATTCATTGACCATTGACTACCTACCAGGCACTCCTCAGCACCATCCCATGGGTTCCCCCAGTGCTGAGGTGGGCATGTAGTAACACCCCACGTAATAATGCAGCCCAACCCAGGCTGATGGTTTCTACTTACTGAAAGTTTTTAATATTTAGTATTAAAGTTGCCATTTAGGTTTTAACTTATTCCTCCTAGGAATTATGGGCCAAGGAGAGTCCATGACTTTGTCTTCATAGAATAGCTGCCTAGCTTCCTAACAGAATAAACATTATTCCTTCAAGCTTGTTCCACTGCAGACTCAAAGAAATTACAGCTATTGGCAAAACTACCTATATCTAAGCAATAAAATACGAGCGCACAGACCTCATTTGACTGCTCCAACGGGGAACCATATTTCTTTGAGAGACATTCTGGTTTGTATAGAAACTGAAACAGGTCCACAACTCCAGGTGACTGTCCCTTGGTCAAAATTTAGTATGCGGAGGATAACTTCCCTGCAGGAGCAGTATCAATCACTACAGTGTGTGGAAACCAGGGTGCAGTGAGTTGAGGATCAAAGAAACTGAAAGAACACTATTTTTGGAAACGGTTTCAACTAACTCATTGTTAGCTGCCTAAGTTCATCCACCCCCACCTATGACCTGTTAGTAAAAGCAGGTCTCACTTTCATCTGCAGGTGGAAACTGGTCATTGTAGCTCAATTAAGGTAAATGAAGATTTTAACCTTAGCCTAACAGTTTAATAGCGCTCTCTTCCCTCACACCTGTGTTTCACAGGCACCCGCGCGCACACACACAAATTAACATCTGAAACATCACCCGAGCCAGTGCTTACTCTGTATAAAATCCGTTATAATTGTAAGACTTAAGTATAAACTTAACATTAAGACACCCTATGGAGGATCTGGTCGATAACTGAAAATACCAAGTTCATGTACACACTGAGAAAACAAGGTATTGTAGACAACTGATGTGCTAGAACGCAACACTCCAAAGGGAAAAGAAATTCCAAAATACCTTAGGAGCAAGTAAAGCAGCCAGGAGACTAAAGCACTGAGCATGGTGCACTCATGGTGACCATTTCCTACTTTATATTTGAGGAAATAGTTCAGCTCAAAGCCATGCTTACCAAAGCCAGAGATAAATAAGGACTAAGTATAAGTCTTTCAATTCTTCGCATAGTCAATATGTTCACTAGGTACTTTTGGTAGAAGATTGGAAATATTTTTTAAAATATGTTTTTATTGATTTTTTGAGAAACATCCATCCACTGCCTCCTGCACACCCCCTACTGGGGACCAAGCCCACAGCCAGGGCATGGGCCCTGACCAGGAATGGAACTTGAACCTCTCAGTCCATGGAACAATGCTCAAATCTACTGAGCCACACCAGCTGAGTGAAGACTGAAACCTTTATTTATTTTTTATTTTATTTTTTTTGTTCAGGTAGAACGGGAGGGAGAGAGAGGAACAGAGAGAGAGAGAGAGAAACATCGATGTGAAAGGGACACATCGAGTGGCTGCCACCTGCAGGACCAACCAGGGCCGGGGACAAACTGCAACCGAGGTACGCGCCCTTAGCGGGAACCGAACCAGGGTCTCTCAGGACCGCAGGCTGAGGCTCTAACCGCTGAGCCAAACCGGCCAGGGCAAGACTGAAACCTTTAAAGGAGAAATTCCTTATTAAAACCAAGGAAATAACCCACATTAGTCTTAAGTTAGTTAGTGCGAGTAACTGAGAATTACAGGAGAGCCCTTACTGTAGGAGTTTACACCATTATGAAAATCTGGCCTGCAAAGTTCTTTCCGTTCCCGCCTTGATCTGCACAGTAAATCCGTTTCTTCCCCACAAACAGGGAGGCAGACAATCACAGCTCCTCTTCTCCAAAAAACGAGGTTTAAATTAACTCAAAGTATTTAAATCTATCAAGTCTGAATGAATAAAGGAATCAGGGTTTGGGATAAATTAGCGTAGAAGAGACACTAGGTCTAATCCAGGCTTACCCCTGCCACCTGTTGACTTACTTTGCAACAGGGACACCAATTCCACAGAAGGACGAGATTTTAAAGGCTGCCCTTTGTCCAGCATATCCATCCTGTTTCTGCTCCCTGCCTGTCCGTTACTTTCTCAGCTACTGAATTGACTGTTCCAGTGCCCGTGTTCAAGACACCGTTAGTTTACTTAATGATGCCACAGTCACATAACTTTATTACAGTACATTGTTAGAAAGGTTATAAATTAAATTTGATCACAGTTATGAATGTACAGGAAAAGACAGTATACATAGAGTTCAGTAATATCCTCTATTTCAAGTACCCACTGGGAGCCTTGCAAAGCGTCCCCAACACAGAAAGGGGACAACTGTATTCACTTACTAGCACTTAACAGGATGTGTGAATACTCACTTGCCCAACTTGACTTCATTGCTGGCTCTTCTCCCTGGGCCTTGATTCCTCTTCCATCTCTCCCTCCCTCCCTCCATTTTCAGATGATCTTCAAGGTAAACCTTTCCACCCTTACCCTAAGTACTAACCCTTTATACTGCTGTTTCCTCTATACTGCTTCCTGTCCTCCCCATCTTTAAAACATAAAGAACCCTCACTGTGGGAGCACCCATCCTCCTTTTCTCTAACTTTTTGAAGAGCTGTATTTTGATTGTACCGTGATTCAGGCAGGCCAGTTTTTTCTATCACAAGTTCTACAAGTTGCCTCAGCTAAAACTTCCAAAATGCTTCTGCCACCACGCTCAGTCACACAGGTCCTTTCTCCAACTCCACACCATTGTCTAGGCCAGACTCATGGCTCTCTTGTTCCGCCCTACTTGGCGCTGAACACACTACCCTCCACTACCCAGTACAAATCCCAAATACTCAAACCCAGTTCCCATGCCTCCATTAACTTTCACACTCAGGTTGATTGCACACGTATATTTAACAAGTTTTACATAGACTGCTAAGAGCACTTCATATTTTACAGGACTTGAAACATGGACTTTCTATTAATCTTCATACCATAGCAGAGCCAAACCTAACTCCTAAATAAATGCATTACAATTTGTTTAGAGTTTAAAGGCTTAATGGCAATAATGGGGTAGGGGGGAGAGCATAAAAATCTTTTACATAACTGAATGAAAAATAAACGAAGAAATAGTAAATAAAATTTAATATGGCCTCATGCGCCCCGAAGGAGGTGGTGCCCGATTCGGAGGGGTGATTGCTATGTCCAGATAATCTCCTATCTGAAACTTCTGCGACTGCAGGGTCATGGAATCATCAGTCCCCTTTCTCCCGGACATGGTGCTGCCAATCTCCTTGACCCTACAGGAAGGAAACTGACTGTTAATGCATCACGAATCCTGCAGCTCCACCCAGACTGCACAGTAAACATGGAACTGGATCTGCTGCTCCATTACCTTGCAGCACAGTAAACCAGGTATTATGATAATTCAAATCTGTATTCCCCCCACTAAAGGGGTTACCCCTTATCAGTTAAAACATATCAAAACCAAAAGGACATTATAGGAACTAACAAGTTACCTACCGATAGCCAGGTCTTTTAATATCCGTAAAAACAATTGCAAAATTGAAGTGTGTGCCCTTCTTTCTAGCTTCTGGGTAGACTTCTTTTACTAAACTAGTCAGTTCTTTCAAGGTTGCATCCATCCTGAATTAAAAATAAATAAATAAATAAATAAAAATATTTGATTAATTAGCAATAATATAACAAGGGTATGGACATACAAAGAGTTAATTACATGTGTCTGAATTATGGTATGTCAGAAACTGTCAATTTTATACTTCAGTTAATTTTAAACATCTAATAATACTATTTGCCACCCCAAAAAACTTCCCTTACCAGCCTCAATGTTTGAAATTGATTAATTAAAGGAAGATTGTTAGTGCTGACAGAGACTTCAGAATTATATACGCGATCTTTTGTTGCTATGTAACACCTTTTTGGCTTAGTGATTTACCTCTTTAAAGGTAACTACTTCAAATTAATCCAAACATTTAAAAGAATCATGTTTTATTATTTCTAAGACACATCCTTCCCCACATTTAGCATCTCTGGAATTGGAATGCACCTTGGAATGAACATGACAGGGAAGCATTTCCATAAAGATGTGCAGTATCTTTCCTAAGAAGGAATCTCAGGGTAAGTTCTACAACAGGAAATTCAACAGAAAATGAAACATGAAAATTTCTCGACAAAGCAAAGGCTCCTTTCACAATGTATATTTTTGCCCTGCACATATTTATCTGAAACTCAGAACTTAATGTCTTTTGAGTTACATGGCACAATCTGGAAAAATCTTTTAAAATATAAGCATCTTGGAAACAGTAACAAATCAGTATAAATTTTTATAATTGTTCTCTTTAATGACAACTGGGAAAATGAAACAGATGACCTGGAACTTTTGGAAACAACATTGCCTGCAGGGCCTATAAGATGACACAGGATACCAGGCCCAATGTAGAATAAGAATTTAAAAATACATTATCAAGCAGGGAGTCAAATGCCCAAGAGGTCACTTAGTTTCAACTTTGCACCCTATTTACAAATCTCCACACTACATCATACTCAAGTAAACCATGGCTTTATCCACATGGAGAGTGAAAACATCCAGGATGACTACATCATCTTCCATTCCGAACTGCGGCCAAATCTTTCTCATATGCCCGTAACAGAACAAAACAGTATTCCCTGCAAGACATGCCCCTCCCTCTCAGATTACCATAAAAATACCATTAACCACTTAGTTGCCCAGGTAATAAACTTAAGCACTGTTCAATTCTTCCCACCTCTATCCTGTTGTTTCTACCTCCTACAAATAGGTCAAATCTATTTTTTTCCTCCATGCCCATCATTACTGCTTTCAGGATATCACCCCCCTCCATGGTTTGCAGGTTGCCAAGAAAGTATGAACAACACTTTGCATACACAAAAAGACAAGCAAGATCAGCTTCAATAAGAGTGCATTTGGGCCCCCACTGCCAACAGGTCTCACCTTGCAGCCGATGCAGAGAGGTGTTCTGCATGCATGCCTCTTGTGCTGCTGGTGGAAGATCCTGGATATAGCAGTGGGGTTGGTCAGGTGCCATACGAGGCTTAAGCAGAACAAAGAACACATCAAGCCCAGAACAGGAAAAGAGACTCCCAAAGAGATATGCCCAGCACAGGCTGTGAGGGTTTTACATCTCCTTGCAAGGAGATATTCTGAGCCCAAAGCCACTCTTCTACAGCCTCAGCAAAGAGTGAGAAGCTGGGCAAGATTGCCTTTCCCAACTTGATAATGTTCATTATTTAAAAGAGAGAAAGCCATATGCAAGAATGCAATAAATTATATCCCAAACCTAACTAGCCAGAATAGCCAGTGGATTAACATCACTACGGGCATCTTTTTATGCAGACATACAATGCTACAGAAAAGGATTTCTTTTATTCTTTTTTGTTGTTGTTAACCCTCACCAGAGGATGTTTTTCCATTGATTTTTAGATAGAGTAGGAGTGAGGGAGGGAGAGAAACATCGATGTGAGAGAGACAGACACATCATTGAACCTGCAACCCAGGTGTGCCCTTGACTGAAAAATCGAACCCATGACCCTTCAGTTTGCAGGCCAACGTTCCAACCGCTGAGCCAAACCGGCCAGGGCCAGAAAAGTAATTTCTTAATATTATCAAGCATATTATATATGCTGAGACTATAATACAAATATAGGACTCTTCAAATATTTTATTTTTAAACAAATTAAGTTTTCTTTAACTTGAAATTAATAGAAGAAAACAACTGAAGTCAAATAGGAGAAATTGTAAAACTTCAGAGAAAGTTCTGTTACTCTTCCTCTCACCTTATACTTTTGAAGCTTATTTTTACTTTGTCAGCGTTCATATTCTATCTGCAACCCTGGTTATTTTAACTTTGTCCCCAGTGATCTCCCATGTTGGCATGAAGTCTGAGGCCAGAGTGATTTTTTTTTCTTTAGAAGAGTGGGGCGGGGGGACAAAGATGTGAGAGAAACACATCTATTGGTTGCCTCCCTGCATGACCCCAACCAGGGCCCAGGATCAAACCTGCAACCCAGGTACATGCCCTTGACTGGGAATTGAACCCAAGACCCTTTGGTCTGAAGGCCTATGCTCTAACTGCTGAGTCAAATCAGCCAGGATCAGAGTGATTTTTTTTTCTAGCTGTCTTGGAGGTATCTGATGCTGTTTATTATAATCAGTTACTCTCTAGTACACAGCATATACTTAAGTGTACCAGAAAGGATTGTGTCTTCTTTTCTAAGAACATTTTTCTTATTGTTCTTATCTTGCTCATAAAGAAGTTGAGGGATCTGGTTCACACCTTTTATGAGTTCTAATAGTGTGAGTCCTCCACAAGCTTCCCCAGACCAATAGCTGGAGTGCCAAGTGTTGCTTTCTGACCACTAGTCTAAAGCTTGAGTACAAAAGAAAAGAAAAAAAAAGAACAAGCGAAAAAAGACAAAGATACAAAAAACTATTAAAAATAAAAACCACAATTTAAAAACAATAACAAAATAAAGCTTGAATACAGGAGTGAAAAATGCAAGAGCCCCCTTGGAGCTGAAGTCTATGCTGGCTGACTGTGATGGTCACTTTTATGTCAATCTGGTGAAGGTGAAGCTCCGTTATTCAATCAAACACTAATGATGGTGTTGTATAAGGTAGAGACAGTCCCAGACATCCCAGACATGATCACAAGAGTAAACAACCAGCCCAGCCAGTGTGGCTAGGTGGTTGAATGTTGACCCATACAGCAAGAGGTTGTTGGTTCGATTCCCGGTCAGGGCACATGCCCAGGTTGAGGGTCTAATCCCCAGTGGGGGGCATGCAGGAGGGGGCCAATCGATGTTCTCTCTTGTTGATCTCTCTCTCTCCCTCTCCCTTTCCCTTTCTCTCTTAAATCAATTTTTAAAAAGAGGGTAAACAACCAATATTTTATTTTGTAGATGGGCTTAAAGCGCATCATTACACTTTAAAGAGATTATTCCAGATAATCTGAGTACACCTGACTCAATCAGTTGGAAGGGCCTTATCAGGCTGGGATCACAACTTTAGCTCATGTTTGAAAGTTCCAGCTGGCCCTTCCTGATAGCCTGCCCAAAGGCTTAGGGATTTGGATGTCTAGGCACCACAACTGTGTAAGCTAATTTGCAGTAAGTCTCTTTATAACTCCTACTGGTTCTGTTTTCCTGGCTGAACCCAATACAATGACGTATCTCATTCACTTCCAGTGACCTGTTTGATGACCTCCCAAGTATAAGAGAGATGTCACTCCTGTGGTGTCTAGCTTGTTCCCCCAACTCCATGGAGTGCCTTGGGTCCCTCTGGGTTTCCACTCCTTTTCTTTAACTTGTCTTAGTGCTGCCTACAATACAGCTCTTCAGTCCACTCCTAGAAGTTGAGAATTCCCAAGCTTTGCTTCTGGGAGTGAGGGCAAGCTCTGCTACCCCAATACCAACCATCCAGTCTTTCAGAATGTCTTCTCTGGGCACCATTTTGAGGCACAGAATAAGGTTGTCTTTCCTTGTTTGGTTACATTTTATGAACAGGACAGTTTAGGACAGGATTTTCTTGTAATCCTTTTTCTTGATTGGGAGTAGACCTCTGTTAAACAATTTCACCCTTAATTTCACTTAGTATTTATCTGCTCTAGTAAGCTCACTAGATTGAGCTTACTACATGTAGACCGAGTTTCCTTACTTACTACACTTTCTTTAATTTATACCCTCAAGGTCAAAGCACAGTACCTGGCAAATAGAAAATCTTATTTGTTGGAGGAAATATCCACTTTAATCTCTGAACAGAGGTTTTCATCAACCCATTAGTAACAGTGCTTCCCTAAAATAAGTTAAATTAACCTTCCTAGAACTTTATTCTGGAATGATACTGAATTGCAATACTACAAAAATTGAACCACCACCTTGAAAAAAGACAAATAAGGCCCCAATCTTCAAAGAACTGAGTTCTAGTACACAGGGCTTACAGTTGGGGAATGTAAAATACTATGCCAAAAAGTTTGACCGTTCCTCAAAATGTTAAATACAGAATGATTATATGATTCAGCAATCCCATTTCTGGGTATATACCTAAAAAAGCTGAAAGCAGGGGCTCAAGCAGAAAGACTTGTCATACCCGTTTATAGCAGCAGCATTCACAGTAGCTGAAAGGTAGAAACAACTTCAAAATGCCCATCAATAGATAAACAAAATGTGGTATATCCGTACCATCATGAAATATTACTCAGAAATAAAAAGGAATGAAGTTCTGTTATATTCTACAACATGAATAAACGCTGAAAACAATACGGTAAGTGAAATAAGCCAGACACAAAAGGACAAATATTGTAAAGTCCATTTATCTGAAATGCCTGGAATAGGCAAGTTGATATACATACAGTAAACTAGTGTCTACCAGGGACTGGGGGAAGGGAGGGTAGGAAGGTATTGTTTACTGGGTCCAAAATTCCTGATGGAGGGAATGAGAAAGTTTTGGAAATGTAATGATAATGGTTGCATAATGTGACTTTGTACCCTTAAAAACAGTTAAAGTGGCAAATGTTAGCACAACACAGGAATTCTATATAATCATACACCTTTTAATGTTACTAAAAAGCCATTATGACGTCAAATCAAGGAATTCCACCGTCCGCAGCATGTGACGTTGCTAGTCAGACTTGGAGGAGGTGAGGTCCAGAGAAACATTCAGGGGCGCGCCTTCACCGAACACACGTCCGAGCAGAAATCACTCGGGGTCTTGGTGGTGTTTTGGATGCTACCGCAGCCGAGATTCAACAGCACGCGGCCAGTGCTCTTGAGGAGAGCAGACGTCCCCGCACAGCACTGCTCCCGGGAGCCTGTTACCCCGTCACCCCGGCACCAGGAGCCCCTCCACGGCGCCTACCGCGTGCTAACGGTCTACAAACCATCTTGCTACCGAACAACCACACTGCTTGACAAGGCAACGGGCTCCCGGCGAAACGCAGACGCGCTCCAAGGCCGGCCAGTCCTCTCACCCAGCAACTGCAGCCCGCAGTGCGAGGCGGGCGCCCGCGGCCCAACCCGCCGCCGCCCCGCCGCCCGCTCACCAGGTGTAGATCTGCAGCTCGCTGGACGGCACGTTCCCGCGGGAGAACTCGTCCATGCGGTGGTGGCGCCCGTTGTTGGTGGTGAAGACGCGCAGCAGCAGCGGGCACGTCTGCGGGTAGAAGGAAAGGCGAGGGCTGAAGTAGTCGGGCCCGCGCGGGGTTCCTGCCTCCCGCGGGCCCGCTCGGCGCCCCGCCAGCCTTCCGCCACCTCGGCCCGACCCCTCACCTTCTCCCGGTCGATTGGTTTCTCCGGCTCCTTCTTAATTTCCTCCTGGGTGACGCGCGACTCCACCGCCATCTTCCTCCACTGGCCCGGGAGAGGCTCGCTCTGACCTCCAACCCCGGCAGCGAGCATGCGAACGAAGCGTCTCGCGAGACGCTCGAGGCTTTAGAGCGAGCGGGGCAAGGGGCTGGGTGGGGAGGGGCGGGGCTTCCTTGGCGCTGGCTGGCTTCGTGGCGCGATGCGCAAGCGCGGGCCCGCCGCGCCTGCGCGCTGCGTCGTCTTGAAGGAAGCGGATCCTGGCGTCCTCGCAGCGGGACCTGTGAGGGACGACGGCGGATCATAACGGCTAAGGTATTTATGCATTTCCTGAAATGTTCATAGGCCAAGTAAGCTCGCAGGGGCGTTTTCACACGAAATAATGAAAACCTTAACGCAAAACGCTTAAGGACAATACAGGAGATACTGTTGAATACGCAAAAACATGCCTGTATTAGCAAAGTATGGAACTCTTCTGTTTGGTGGAGGATGGATAGCATGTTGAGAAATGGCCCGAACGAGGACAGGGGGTCACGACCAGGGAGGCGTTCAAAGCTGAGGGAACGGTGAGTAATCTGTACTGAAGGAAGAAAAGGCTTCCCACCCCATCGACTTGAGCGCGAAACGCAAAACTAGGACTTTATGGAAATAACACAGACCGTCTTCATGATCAGTGAATGGATAGGGATACGTGACATAAAAACCACTAACCAGAAAGATTAACATATTTGACTACATTGAAGTTGTTAAAAAAACAAAAAACAAAAAACCTGATCTTCAAAATTATAAAGATAGAAAAACATAAACCATCGAGTGGAAGGCGGTATCATGGATGCATAGGACTAACAGTAGTGTCCAGGATATGTAAGAACTAAAGCAAAAGACGGACATCCCAACAGAAAAGTAGGTAAAACTATTGAACTGCTTTTTAATTTTTACTAATTACAAGAGAAAGTTTATTTAGAAAGTTACAGAGGTGGTAGAAGTGAGCCAGCTGGGCTTTGTAGGCTCAGGGAACAACTTATAGAAGCTAAAGAAGGGCCCTTGGAGCTGAAGGAGAGAGAAAGGTGAAGGTGAAGGTAACGCACCTAGGGGTGAGCAGAGGGGGAAGGGAAAGGCTCTAGCGTGCTCCCGGGGAGAACAGGCCCTGAAAGGTTGCTTTTAAACTGGAGAGATCCACATGGCCAATAAATATATAAGGTGTTCAAGCTCATTGCTAATAAGGAAATGCATTAACACCGCAGTGTTTGGCTTTCGTTGATTGGTTTTAAACAAACTACACGCAGTAACTGGGCAAAAATTAGAAATTCTAACAGTTATTGGTAGAATAATGGGAATATTCTAATGGGGTGGTAAGAATGTCAACTGGTATGCCACTTTGGAAAGTAGTTTAGGATTATTTAATAAAGTCAAAGATACACTTTAACAACAATTTCACTCCTTGGTATTTACCCCAGAGAAAATCTTGCTCATCTGTATCCAGAGACATTACAAGAATGTTCTTAGTATTGTTTATCAGAACAACAAGCTGGAACAACCAAGTGTCTGTCAACATTACAGTAGTTCAAAGAACTGTGTCCATACAGCAACAAAACTATCAAACAGCAATGAAAAATGGAACATTATTATACAGCAACAACAATGAACAAACTACAGCTACATGAAGCTACAACTATGTGAAACAACATGACTTGCACAAGCATAATGGTGGGTGTAACAATCCAAAGACCAAAGAGTGTATACTAGTCCTGGCGGTTTGGCTCAGCCATTAGAATGTTGGCCTGAGGACCGAAGGGTTATGGGTTCAATTCCCTGTCAAGGGCATGTGATAGAGGTTCTATCCCTGGCCCCATTCAGGATCATGAGGGTGGCAGCCAATCGATGTGCCTCACATCAATGTTTCTCTCTCTCTCTCTCTCTCTCACACACACACACACACACTCCCACTCTCTAAAAAAAAAGGGAAAAATATCCTCGGGTGAGAATTAACAACAACCAAAAAAAAAGATTGCCTGTGGATAGCTGGTTCTGTGAAAACTTTGTGAAAAAAAATAGCATTGCTGTCATAACCACTTAATTGTAAGTCTTTGTCAAATCCTTATCATGCACATTCAAATAAAGATGTACTAATCTTCAATCACTGCAAAGAGTTAAAAGGGCTTCTGTTGTGAGCGGCACACTCTATAGAGCAGTTTGATTGCTCTACGTGTGGAATCGACATCAACAGATTTCAGGAGCATACTTTTTTGGTACTTCGGCAGCAGGTGATCATTGGTCTTGGTGCCCGAAAAAAAAAAATTCACTGCAAAGAGCTGTTATGGGAATTGGTTAAGTATTTAATCATCAAGTCTGTGTGGGGTACTTTTTTGGGAGACTTGGGGGTGGTTCTTCTGGCCCCGATTCTAAGGTTGCACATGAAGAAAGATCTCCAATAATTTTATTAGTTCTTTGGGTTTAGGAAGTGTATGTCAATAGATGTCTTTGTGGTATTCATGTCCACCATGGCATGAAAGAATGTAAGGCCCTGCTTTATATATACCTGACACTAAATATGTAAGTGATTAACATTTTACAGTGCTTAGAAACAATCTCAGTGACATATTCTCAGATTTACATAGTAATAATAATGAATTAATATTTATTGATTGGTGTTTGGTTATCTTTCCATTGCTGCATAACAAACACCTGAAAACAGAGAAGCTTAAAACTTTTATTTCGGCTGGGCTCAACTCTGCAGTTCTTCTAGCCTGCTGGCTTACCTTCTGCATCTGTAGTTATCTAGAAGTTCAGTTTGGGGTTTGAGAGTTAAATGGTCTAAGATAACTTCACCTGCCTATCTAGTGATGTTGCTGGCTCTTGACTGGGTGATGTGTCTTTAACAGGCTAACCCAGGCTTCTTCAAATTGTCTCAGAATTCCAATAGAGTGAGAGAAGAAACTGCAAGGTGTCTTAAGGACATGGCTCATTAGCTATACAACTTCACTTTTGCCACTTTTGATTGGTCAAAACAAGTCAGAAGGCTATGCCAAGAATCAAGAAAGTGAAGATATAGGCTTCAGTTTTGGTGAGAGTTTAAGGCACACTACAAAAGGCATGCACATGGATGGGAGAAATTTGTGGCCTTTTTTCTTCAATCTACATGCCAGGCACTTTACTACATTATGTCATTTAATTTTCACAAGTATCCTGAGATGTGTATGTTATGTGACCTGTTACACAAATGAGAAAATGGAAACACAGAGATGTTATGACATTTCTAACTAGGGAAATGTTTGTTAAAAGTTCTTAATAAGGCCCTGGCTGGTTTGGCTCAGAGGTTAGAGCATTGGCCCACAGACCAGAGAGTCCTGGGTTTGATTCCAGCCAAGGGCACATACCTCTGTTGCAGTTCGTCCCTGACCCCGGTTGGGGTCTTATGGGTGGCAACCTGTCAATGTGACTCTCTCACATTGATGTTTTTCTCTCTCTTCCTCCCTCCCGCTCTATCTGAAGATAAATGGAAAAATATCCTCGGGTAAGGATTTAAAAAAAAAAGAGTTCTTGCCCTGGCCGGTTTGGCTCAGCGGTTAGAGCGTCGGCCTGTGATCCAGAGAGGCCTGGGTTCGGTTCCTGCTAAGGGCCCGTATCTCGGTTGCAGTTTGTCCCCGGCCCTGGTTGGTTGTGCGGGTGGTAGCCACTCGATGTGTCCCTTTCACATCGATGTTTCTCTCTCTCTCTTTCTCTCTCTCTCTCCCTCTCCCTCTCCCCCTCCCCCTCTCTCTCCCTCCCACTCTATCTGAACAAAAAATGGAAAAATGTCTTCGGGTGAGGATAAAAAAAAAAAAGTTCTTAATAAGCTCTGGCCAGTTTGGCTCAGCAGTTTGAACGTTGACCCGCGGACCAAGGAGTCGTGGGTTTGATTCCAGTCAAGGGCACATACCTGGGTTGTGGTTTGGTCCCTGGTCATGTAGGAGGCAGTCAGTGTGTCCCTCTCACATCAGTGTTTTTTTCTAACTCTCACTTTCTATTCCCACTCTGAAAGTGAATGGAAAAATATTCTCGGGTGAGGATTTTTTTTTTCCTTTATTGATTTTAGAGAGAGAGGAAGGAAGAGGGAGAGACAGAAACATCAATGAGAGAGAACATTTATCTGCATATCCCCCACTGGGGATTGGGCCCATAACCTGGGCATGTGCCCTGACCAGGAATCGAACTGATGACCTCTTGGTGCATGGGTTGACGCTCAACCACTGAGCGGCACTGGCCGAACTCGGAAGAGGATTAAAAAAAAAAAAAAGCTTAATAAGCAAAACTATGCTAATAGACTATTAAATTTAAAAAGAAGGATAAAATGGCCCTGGCCAGTTTGGCTCAGAGGTTAGAGTGACGGCCTCCGGTCCAGAGAGACCAGGGTTCAGTTCCCGCTAAGGGCGCGTACCTTGGTTGCAGTTTGTCCCCGGCCCTGGTTGGTCGTGCAGCCACTCAATGTGTCTCTTTTACGTTGATGTTTCTCTCTCTCTCTCCTCCTCTTCCTCCCACTCTATCTGAACAAAAAATGGAAAAATGTCCTCGGGTGAGGATAAAAAAAAAAGAAGGATAAAATGTAAAATTATTGAATTATGGGATCAAAATATGCACACAATGTTCTCTCTGGCAGTACATGTACTAAAATTGGAATGATACAAAGATCAGCATGGCCCCTGTGCAAGGATGACATGCAAATTTATGAAATGTTCCATATTTTTAAAAAAGATGTACACACATACACAAGAACATCCTGGAAGGAAATATTCAAGTATATTAACAAATTCCTCTGTTGGAATATGTTGGATCATTGTGATTTACATCTCTTTTGTATTTTCTACAGTTTTCATTATTATGTGTTTATTTTTAGAAATTAAAAAGTAAAAGTAATGTTTAAAAAGTAAATTTCTAGGGTGTTGTCCCAATACGCCAAGGTTGCAGGTTCAAGCCCCTGTCAGGGTACATACAAGAATCAACTAATGATTGCATGAATAAGTGGAACAGTAAATCGCTGTTTCTCTCAAAAAAATTAGCCCTGATCAGTTTGGCTCAGCAGTTATAGTGTCAGACCAAAGGGTCTTGGGTTCGATTCCCAGTCAAGGGCATGTACCTGGGTTGCAGGTTTAATTCCCACCCTAGTCAGAGTTGTGCAGGAGGCAACCTATCAATGTGTCTCTCTCACATTGATGTTTATCTCCCTTCCTCCCTCCCTCCCTCCCTCTCTTCTAGAAATCCCTTCCTATCTAGAAATCAATGGAAAAATATCCTTGGGTTAGGATTAACAAAAAAGGGGAAAAATTAGCCCTGGCCGGTTTGGCTCAGCGGTTAGAGCGTTGGCCTGCGGTCCTGAGAGACCCGGGTTCGGTTCCCGCTAAGGGCATGTACCTCGGTTGCAGTTTGTCCCCAGCCCTGGTCGGTCGTGCGGGTGGCAGCCACTCGATGTGTTCCTTTCACGTCAATGTTTCTCTCTGTCTCTGTTCCTCTCTCTCCCTCCCACTCTACCTGAACAAAAAATGGAAAAATGTCCTCAGGTGAGGATAAAAAAAAAGGGAGGGTTGGAAAATTAAAAAGTAAATCTCTACGGGCAGGGGTGGGGGGGTAAGGGGTGTGGTTCAAGATGCTGGTGGAGTAGGTGGTTCTTTTTTTTTGGTATGTGCCCCTAGCGGGAATTGAACCCGGGACTCTCTGGTCTGCAGGCCAACGCTCCAACCACTGAGCCAAACTGGCCAGGGTGAGTAGGTGGTTCTTTCTCACACATCCTAAAACAAACTGGAAATAAAACTAAATTGGGGAATATTTACTCTAAATTACCAACTGAAGACTAACTGAAGATAAGACCTTTTTTCCATTTTTTTGTTCAAATAGAGTGGGAGGGAGAGAGAGACAGAGAGAAACATCGACGTGAAAGGAATACCACCCGCATGACCCAACCAGGGCCAGGGACAAACTGCAACTAAGGTACGCACCCTTAGCGGGAACCGAACCCGGGTCTCTCTGGACCGCAGGCCGATGCTCTAACTGCTGAGCCAAACTGGCCAGGGCAAGACTTTTTTAAATCTTCACTCGAGGATATGTTTCATTGATTTTAGGGGAAGGGAGAGAGAGAGAGAAACACCAATGTATGAGAAAAATATCGACTGGTTGCCTCCCACAGGTACCCCCACTGGGGACTGAACCTGCAACCTAAGTTTATGCCCTGACCAGGAATTGAACCAGCAACACTTCAGTCCAGGGGATGCTTAGGTGCGTAGGAGGATGCTCCAACCAACTGAGTAACCCCAGCCGAGCTGAAGATGAGACTTTTAAACTAGAAAGGGCATAAAACACCCAGAGAGGTGTAGGAAGGGCAGGATAGTGAGGGTGCTGGCCCTGCCCCCAAGGGCGGCAGGCTGAGGGTGCAGAGGGAACAGTGGGATAGCTCAGCTAGTGGGGAGATGTGGATGTTCCCCTGAGATTAGTGAGGCCTGGACCCCAGGCTGGGCTCCCCAACCCAGAGCTGAGAGCCAGGAACAGCTACCCACGTAGCATCTAGTGACAAAAGGTGGCAAGGATTCTATCCACCAGGGAAAGATGGAGCTTAGCAGAGAAAAGCCACTTTGTTTTTTGAAGGCCAGAGCACAGGATTTCTGTTCACACCCTCTCACCCTGGGCTTTGACAAAGGAAAGGAGATGCAAGCTGGAGTCAACCAAGGAAGGTCTGAGTTGGGAGCGCTGGGGAGAGATGGTAAAGCAGCTGCCGAATGCCTGTGCAAGGTTATCCCTCCATGCCACAGCAGTCATTTTTCATGAGGAGCAAGCCCCTCCCAGCAGCAGCATCCCGGGGAAAGGCAATTACCCCACTCTCTGGTTACAGCTTGCCCTATCCTCTGGAATCCCACTCTCCCCACCCTACATCTTGGCCCCTACTTAGGAGGCAGCAGCAGAGGCCAAGCCTACAGGTCTGGGCAGTCTCAGGCATCAGTAACTGTCTTTGGGACAGGTCCACCCACCCACCCCCACTTTCCTGGAAACCTGACTAGCACTTACCCTCATGGGAGAGCTGATAGAAACTCCTGGCTTCCAAGCAGATCCCATCAGCTTTCCTATGAGGGGCTCCGCCCTGCCAAGGTCAGGGAAATATTCTGGAACAGACTCAGAGGTGTGGCTTGGAAAGAGGAACACACCCACCATCTTCCTTGAAGTCTGAATGGTACCTCCCCCTCACAGGAGATCCAGAGATCCCATCCTTGTCATTCTACCAAAGCCCTTTCTGAAACAGCCTTTTCATCCACTAAGTATGACAGCAGACCCTCAGGGGCTGGGGAGGTGGATCCCAAGGTGCCTTGAGACATTTACTGACCTACACTTGGGCCCCATGCTGCTAAAATGCCAGTCTTAGAGTAAAGTTTGGCCCCTCCCATGCATAGCTAAGCCCAGCAGAGGCAGCCAAAAACTGGATAGCTTGAAGCTTTGAGCAGGTTGCTGAGAGCCAAATGTGGACAGCTTTGGACATTGGCAAGCACGAGAGTACCTCCTGGGAGGCCTGAAAGTGGCATATAAAACAGCTTCAGACAACAAAAGAGCAGGATCCAAAGGGAGATCCAGCAGATGACATCCTATTGTACATAGAAAACTCTAAAGACTCCACCAGAAAACTAGATCTAATAAATGAATTCAGCAAAGTAGCAGGATACAAAAGTAATATCCAGAAATTGGTGACATTTTTATATACCAATAACAAAGTCTCAGAAAGAGAAACTTAAGAAAACATAACTATTTACTATTGCAACAACAACAACAACAACAAAAATAAGGTACCTAGGAATAAACTTAACCAAGGAGGGACAAGACCTGTATTTGGAAAACTATAGGACACTGAAGAAAGAAATAGAGTAAGAGGCTAACAAGTGGAAGCATACACCATGTTCATGAATTGGAAGAATTAGCATCATTAGATTGTTCATACTACCCAAAGGGATCTGTAGATTCAATGCAATTCCTATTAAAATGCCAATGGCATATTTCACAGATCTAGAACAAATATTCCAAAAATTTATAGAGAACCAAGAAAGACCCCCAAATAGCATCAGCAATCTTGAGAAAGAACAAAGTTGGAGAGATTACATTACTGGATATTAAACTATAGTACAAACCCACTGTAATCAAAACAGCCTGGTACTGGCACAAGAACGGTCAAACAGATCAATAGAACAGAACACAGAGCCCAGACATTAACCCACAAGTTTATGGTGAATTAATATTTGACAAAAGAGACTGGCCAGTGTGGCTCAGTGATTGAGCATCAACCCACGCACCAATAGGTCACTGGTTCAATTCCTGCTAGCACATGCCCAGGTTGTGGGCCTGATCCCCAGTGGGGAGCATGCAGGAGGTGGTCAATCCATGTTCTCTCTCTTCGATGTTTCTATCTTTCCTCTCTTCCTCTCTCTAATATCAATAAAGAAAAGAAATTTGACAAGCCCTGGCCAGTTTGCTCAGTGGTTAGAGTGTCAGCCTGCGGACCAATGAGTTGCGGGTTTAATTCCGTTCAAGGGCACCTACCTCAGTTGCAGTTCATCCCTGGCCCTGGTCGGGGTCGTGTGGGAGGCAACCTGTCATGGCTCTGTCACATTGATCTATCTATCTCTCTCTCTCTCTCTCTCTCTCTCTCTCTCTCTCTCTCCCCCCCCCTCCCTCTCCCTTCCCTTCCCTCCCACTCTATCTGAAGATAAATAGAAAAATATCCTCCAGTAAGGATTAAAAAAAAAAAAGAGCCCTGGCTGGTTTTATTCAGCGGTTAGAGCATCAGCCAGCAGACCAATAAGACCTGGGTTCAGTTCCGGCCAAGGGCATGCACTTTGGTTGTGGTTCATCCCCTGCCCTGGTTGGGGTCGCATAGGAGGCAACCAATTCATGTGTCTCTCACATCGATGTTTCTCTCTCTCTTCCTCTCTCCCTCCCTCCTAATCTATCTAAAGATGAATGGAAAAATGTCCTTGGGTGAGGATTAAAAAAAAAATTGACAAAAGAGTCGAGCATACAATAGAGTAAGAACAGTTTCTTCAATAAATGATGTTGGTAAATTGGACAGGTACATGCAAAAAAATGCAACTAGACCTCCAACTTGTGCCATATACGAGAAACTGAAAATGTATGAAAAACTTAAATGTAAGTTGTGAAACCATAAAATTCCTAAAAGAAAGCAAACGCAGTAAATCTTAAGCACAAGTACCCATCTACTACCATACAGTTATTGCAATATTATTGACTATATTCCGTATGCTGTACTTTATATCCCCATGACTATTCTATAACTACCAATTTGTACCTCTTAATCCCTTTACCTTGTTTTCACTGGTGCCCGCCCCCTGGCCCCACCCTCCCATCTGGCAACAGTCAAAATATTTTCTGTATCTATGAATCTGTTTCTGTTCTGCTTGTTCATTTATTTGGTTTTTAATTCTACATATAAGTGAATTCGTATGGCATTTGTCTTTCTCTGTCTGACTTAGTTCACTCAGCACATTCCCTCTAGGCTAGGCTCATCCATGTTGCAGATGACAAGGTTTCATTCTTTTTTATGGCTAAGTCACATTTCATTGTATATATGTACCACTTCTTTATCCATTCATCTATTGGTGGACACTTATGTTGCTTCCATATCTTGGCTATTGTAAATAATACTACATTGAACATGTGGATACATCTTTTCAATTTAGTGTTTTGTGTTTCTTTGGGTAAA